TATATAACATTGCTATACAAAAAAGTTACAGACAATTTTAGTGATTCCGGTGCTCGAGCTATATGTTATATGTAGCACAACTTCATTCGTATTCTGTATCGAAAAGTCACGCCGTAGAGGCTGCTGCTCGCGGTAGCTATCACGGCGATCCTTAGGTTTTTTTGGAAGTCAGAGGCGGAAGCAAAGGTTTTAGGTTCGACCGCTTCTTCCTCCGATAAATAAGTACAGTGTAGCAGATTTATCATGGGACCTTAATGATGACGATCACGCTGACGATCCATAATTAAGACGCGAAATAAGGCTACGAAAAAGTAGCCTCAAAAACGTTTTACGTATTACCACAACACCGGTATTCCACGGAACAGTTCAATTAAAGTTTATAATAGTATTCCGTCCCCCGCACTGTCACTTTCCAGTCCTTCCATTGTAAACAAAGATTGCTGAGCAAAAACGTCCGTACACAGGAGGCTACAACTGTGAACTGATGACACTAAATGCTACATATAGCATGTAGCAGATGCTAGACGTAATATATTTGTATAACATTGCTACATATAGCAATGTTAGATGTAGCAAGTATTTCTTTTGATCTTTACCGACTCCCAATGGATAGCACAATTTCTGCTATATTTAGCAGGATCTGCTACATATAGCAGTGTTATATAGCACTTTTGAAAAGTAACTTTTTCTACTTCTAGCAAATGTTATATAACATTGCTAGATGTTACACAAATCTGCTATATAGCAGGTTTTGCTACATAGTGTAAACCCGGCTTCAGACCCACCGTTTGGAGGGTCCCAAATACACACAAGTTTTGCTGAGGGCTTTTGCTCGCGGCGGGGCGGGACTGAACCTTTCTATAGGTTTGGGCAGTAGTGATTATTATGTCTACTTCCTTACACAGCAGGTGATGAGTCAACTCCGAGAACAGCCCCAGTGGACACATAACCACGGAATTGTCACCATTACATAAAGTTACGTGATGTGTGAAACAGAAGCGATGTTTGATAAAGTTATTCGTCAAACACAATTGATATGATCAATTCTCATTCACACTGTCTGTTTATATAATTTTTCATTGGATTTATTTGGAATTTCTTTAACATGATCGTTAACATGTTTTACGTTAATAACAAGTATGCTTGGAATATGAGTATACTATATGTATTTATTTGAGTTTAATATATTATCTCAGACTCAGTGTAGACCCTACATTGGAATAGGGACTTTTTATAAATTCAATTCTACGTCATTATCATACCATCTGATAAATTACTGACATACCCAAATCCACATTTTCCATCCATCTACTTATCCCGTGTCTTCTCACAGAAGCTGTATTTACAAATTGTTGAGTATAGAATTCCATTATCAATGCAATGTCCACTTTATTACTGACTGACTAATCGATGACCCGACCCGATTTATAATTATATAGGAACAGTTATTAAAATGCCCAAAACAGCAGAGACAGCTGGGTCCAGTTACAAAATACCATGAATTTCTTTAACATTTTGTCAAGATTTAACCGGCAACATCCAGATTTAATAATTTTCAGGGAAGGTTTTAAAAACTAATTATCCTCATTCCTGACAACTTTATTTAATTTCTTTCTCATTTCAGAGATGAGTTTGTTGCATGAGATTTTTTTAACTTGAGGTAGGCCTATATAGGATAATACATTTGATTACATTTTATCTTATATTCTAATACAAGCAAAGTCTGTTTGTTTGTCTGTCTGTAATATATGTGTCAAAATCTGGCAGAAGGATTTTGTCTAAATTTTTTCATTAGGGACTTATAGCCTTAAGAACGTGATTGACGACAGCCACTACCTCAGGAAAATTCGTATTACGCTACACAATTGATTTCAAGAATCAAGAATCAATATTTTTATTCCGTTAAACATGTACATGCATTTGGATACGTCAAGGTTGATTACATGCTGCAAAAACACAAGTCAAAGATAAATTACAGTACAAAAACAAATCAGGCATTAACAAAACGATAAAATAAGATACAAAGGTTATTTAGATGGCACAGTGAAGACTATGGTATACTTGCAGGAGAAAAAAAATAGATACAAGATATTATTTAGTGAAAAACAAAATATATTATTTAGTGATATTATTTACAAAAGAAATACTTATGAAAAAGGCAGTGACTAGATTATATGATTTCTTTGGTTGAACATTTAAAAAATTCTCCCAGCCCATAAAAAGGATGTACAGTTAGCCACTGAAGAATTTGATTTTTGAAAGCTTTGTTGTTTAACAACAGTATTTTCTTGGGGAGTTTGTTAAGGCATTTGAGTCCCAGTACTTCATAATAAGATTTCATTTTTTTTCAAGTCTAACATAAGGGATGTCAATTTTCCCTTTATTCATAGTATTAAAATTGTGGACATCACCCCTAAGAGTGTGGGATTTCAGGTTCTTAAAAGTAGTCAAAAAAATGTTATATAAAAATAAATTAACAACAGTCAAAATCTTAAAATCTACAACAATTGGTCTACAGTGCTCCTTGTGATTGACATTTGCCATGATCCTGATCACTTTTTTCTGAATTAAAAGAACATCAGTGATGTGAGGGCTGCTGCCCCAAAAGATTATTCCATAATTAAGGGCTGATTGGAAAAGTGTGAAATAAGCAGTTTTTATATAGTCAAAAGAACTACATCATTGAGTTTTCTGAAAAGAAATGTCAATCTACTTAGTCTAGTACAGAGATGTTCAACATGATATGACCATGACAGGAGTTGATCCACATAAACACCCAAAAACTTAACAACTTTGGCCTTGTCACATTGTACTTCAGGAATTTTACGAAGCCCAAAGACAACGGTTTGGGTTTTCTCACTGTTTAACAAAAAACTATTTGCAGAGAACCATTCTGCTGCTACATTTTTACTGAGTTTTTAGCCTCAAGCTCAAGAGATTCTAAATCTCTGCTATGTATAAGCAAAGTTGTGTCATCAGCATAAAGTTATGTGTTACAATTTAGACTGGATGGAAGATCATTTATTGAGATTAAGAATAGCAGAGGGCCCAAGACTGAGCCTTGTGGTACCCCACAGTTGCTTAAGGCAACCGCGGACCACCGACCCCCGCTGCAAACCATCTGTCTTCGGTTACTAAGATATGTTTTCAGCAGTTTTAAAGCATTAATTTGAACACCATAAAACTCCAACTTATGGAGCAGGACATCATGGTCGACACAGTCAAACGCTTTGCTGAGATTTGAAAATTTTAAAGTTTAACATTAACCTTATATTGACCTTATTATGGGTTGCCAAGTAACTATGTTGGTTGAACAAAATAACAAGTAAAAACTAAACAAAAGATTTGTGACTATTGAGCAAAGAATACACTGCTGCAGATTACTTGATTCATATAGGGGAAAATAGAGCAAGTCAGTGAGGGTGATGAAGTTTCGTGTTGGTGCCGTTTGAGTGTTGATTGTTGAGTTAACTGGTCAACTCAATGTTTCACTCTTATTTAAGGGTCGATTTTACAATTTTTTGCACTTTTAGCGAATTTCCCTATAGGGAAGTAGCTATTACCGTAGGTCTCATGGTAAGACCTAAGCCCGGGACCGATTTACTTTTTCATTTTGATGTCCCCAGAGGCCAAAAACACCATTCGTTCAAATTTTTATATATATATATATATATATGTCCATCCGCACAATAACTTGAGTAATTTTTGTCCGATTTTGATAAAATTTGGTTTAAAGGTGTAAGGCGGGATAAACGTGAATTAGTTCGCGAACCAGCATGACCGGACTATGGGAACGGGGGTTTATGTGGGGTTTTATGGGGTAAAAATCGGGTTTTCCTATTTTTGACCCTAAAAACACAAAATTTCACAATTTCTTTTTAAACCATTTTGTAGAGCTTAAAAAAAACAAATAATTTAGTATATTGAATCCTTATAATGCGCCTAAATGTTACAGAAAAAATTCAAAAAAATTGTAATTTTAAAATTCCCATGTTATTCTTATGGAGAATAAGTCAACTGTTGTAGTTTGCTTGTTTATGAACATATTTTGATCGATTTTGGAAAACACTTTTATTTCTTACTAAACTATTATCATTTTATAAAAAAAGTCTTTTTTACCCTCCCTGTTGCAGCAAACCTAATTACTCGTTAAACTAATTCTATTTAAATAGGAAATAAATGTGCTATTTTTATGGAGGCATTTTAGTGTAAATCCAATCAGGTTAATGGAAATTCGCTTAGTCTGCAGGTTTGCTGCAGCGGGGGTATTTTTAGTTAACATAATTTGGGACAGCTGTATCCTACTAAATATTATAAATGAGAAAGTTTGAATAGATGTTTGTGACAAGTAAAAGCGAAAAATACAGTCGGATTGGGCTGAAATTTGGGGTGATGATAGCTCACATTCCCGATTAACATATAGGCATAATGTTATCTCAAAACTCCTTTCAGGCTCCGCCCCAGTGGCTCTGGAGTTTCCCATGTTAACCTTGTATTCACATTTAAAAGGAGTTAAATAATTTTGTCAGCTGATTTGACCAAACAAGTTGGTTCTATGATATTCAATAGCATTGAAAAGTTTAAAGGTTTACCAACAGGGTGCAGCACTATTATATTTTTTGCAACCCATATATAAATCCCAAAGTGCACATGAACTTTTGAGAATGCAAAGAACAGTTTGCCCGCTACGGAATACCAGATGTTGTTTCTGACACTGGTACCCAACTTGTTAGCCAAGACTTCAAGCTTTTTGCCCATACTTGGTTGTTCAAAATTGTTGTTTCTTCACCGCATAATCACCAATCCATAGTTCATAGTTCATTGTTCATGGTAAGGCAGAATCAGCGGGTTGTAAAAACGGGGCTCCGTCCCCCGGTACTTTTTACTAATATAGGCTACACTATTTGTCACATTTTTACAATATTAGATAGCACTAACGTCTAAGGTTCTGTATTGTTGAAATTAAAACTATAGTGTAACCAAAGCTTTTATTATTTCAGAATGGAGTGGAGCATCTTCATGATGTGACTGTGGCTCTAGACATGAATGGAAGGGACCAACTGCTAGATCTTAGACTCAATAGGTGAGCTTGTGTCCCTTCCCTTAGTATCGTATTTCCTTTGGTAGCCTATCCCTTTTAGAAACTTTTTTTCATCCAAAAAAATGTTATCTTCAGTCAATTTAATATTAAGTTATATGAAATAAAATAAAATAAATTAATAAAAATAAATATTTTGGAGAATTCATCAGTCAAAACTATTAGATAAAAAAAATCAATTCTGGGAATAAATAAAATAGAAGATAAAACTAGCCATTCTGGAAAACATTATTTTGAAGACGTATTTCCCCACTATATTGTCTTATAGAAATTTGGTCTTCTATTTCAAGACTTGCAAGATTGTAGGTGCATGTACCAAACTTTCAGTCAGTTTGTAATAAATACCTAGAATCATTATTTTTCGTTTCAGAGAGTTAATACCCAAAGGATATTTTGAAAAACACCAAAAGGATGGTTTATATGTAGTCAGGAGACCCAACCATCAGGTATGTTAACATTTTGTTATATCTATATTTAATTTATTTATACAATTACATTTTTTTACACAATAGTTTACGTATAGTACTGGGAACATACATAACTACTACTTGACATCCTTTTTTTTACTTTTTTTTCTGACAGAAACTTCTTTTACAGAGCATTCAAAATAAAGTTCACAACTTTGTTAATTTTTTCTTTCTCTTTTTTTGATTATTTTATGCTGTAAAACTTAATAGTTATAGTAAAAATTGTAAACATTTGTACTATGTTTCAAATTTGATGGAATAAATCATCATTCATTATTTTTTACAGAAATATTCTTTTAATCTAGGATACAACTTTTCTTGCAATTAACTCATAAAAAAGAACGGCTCATAAATTAGAGAATTACTGTACCTCTAAACATATTGTATCAGTACAGTAGTGAATGCATTGGTAAGCTGTATTGTCAGCTGCAGCTAACCAAATAAGTGTTGATGTGATGTGAGCTTGTGTTTATGTGTTTGTGTTTGGTGAAACTGACTGATTGGACCACAGTCTAACCAATCAATCCACACTTGTGTAGAATACAACACCACACTGTGTTCAGCTCGCTGTAGCTAAGGTAGCTCTAGTTGTAACCATCTTGTGGTTCATACTTAAGCTGATCAACATTTATTGATTTTAAATATTCAAATTAACCAGTAAAAAGAGGTAAAAATTTACCCGCCCTATACCTTCCGCAAAGATTCGTGGTGGCTGAAGGATTAGGACGGTCGGGTTTTGTCCCAGCCCCTAAATTAGCCCTCACTCGGCTGCTCTGGGGTTTGACAATGTGTAACCCACTGGGCTCAATGCATAGGTGGTAAACTTTTTGTATATCACCATAATGTGTATTAAATAACGTCATTTTTGTAACCTGCATCAAATAACAAGAACATTGAGCCCAAACACGAAATAATTGCGATGATATTAAGCATACCACGACACGAAAACTGTCCATTATTTTAAAACCAAATGCATACTTAATATCGTCGCAATTATTTCGTGTTTGGGCTTAATGTTCTTGTTATTTGACGCAGGTTACTAAACTGGCGTTATTTAATACACTGTGATATACCAAAATTCTCCCAACTATGCATTGAGCTTAGTGGGTGACTCATGGCACAGAAAACATACTACTATAACCCAGAATACCAACCGCATGGTAAAATGCATTAAGTGTTTTGAGAGAGCTTTGCCTGTCAAATCGTAGGCAGCGCCACCAGCGTTACCATGCACTCAGCATAGCAACGCTGGTGGCGCTGCCTGCGGATTGACAGGCAAAGCTCTCTCAAAACACTTTAATGCTTTTTACCATGCGGTTGGCATTCTGGGTTATAGTAGTATGTTTTCTGTGCTCATGGTCAAAACCCAGGGCAGTTGAGCAGGGCCTAATTTAGGGGCTAGGACACCACCCGACCGTCCTAATCCCTCAGCCGCCACGAATCTTTGCGGAAGGTATAAATTTGAACAAACTTTTGTTGTCTTGGCTTAATAAGTGTCAACCGTATTTATAATTTTCAGAAAAATTTTTATTTAATCATTAAATGCCGTTAGGGATTACCTATAATATGCAAGATATGTTACCGTAGGTCTCATAGCAAAACCTAGGCCCAGGACCGATTTACTTTTTCGTTTCGATGTCCCCAGAGGCCAAAAACACCATTTGTTCAAATTCATATATATATAAAATATGTATAGTAAAAAATACCCCAGCCGCAGTAAACCTGCCAACTAAACAAATTTCCATTTCCCTGAATTGTTTTTTAATTAAATCTATTTAAATAACATTAGGTTTAACGAGTACCTAGGTTTGTTGCCCTAAGGAAACTAATAAAGTGTGGTTTTTAGTAAAATACTAGTGGCTTGTAGCCCTAAATATATATATTCTAGTAATTATTTTGTACAAATTGTTAATCTCATGGGTTACCCTACCTTGAATTATCATTCAACATTTTTGTATATTATAATATGTATAATAGTTATTACATACCTGCATAATGCATTTTGATGTCTGGTCTGTTTAAAATAAAAATTCCAAAGGACTGTTCATGCGGTGTGTTTATAATAAAAACTTTCTACATGATATTATTTCTATATTTTGTTTTTACACCAAAAAACATACAATTGGAAAAAGTCTATTTCAGCTTTAAGCCCCCCATACACGGGCAAACATGTTCACGAGCATGTTCGTGACGGTGTTGGCGGCAAACATGCTCGCCCATGTGTGGGGTCTGCGAGCCTTCGTACCGGCGAGCTTGTTTTGCTCGGTGTTCGGCTCGTCGGACTGTCACAGCACGAGAGAAGTGAGTACTGTGCGGTGGCAGCAAATAGGCAAGCATGCTCGACCGTCTGTTGGAAACGTCGAGCATGTTCGCAAGCTTGTCCGCCAATAGGCTCGCTAACATGCTCGCCCGTGTATGGGGGGCTTTAGTATAATTAGTCAATGATAATAGTATACATATTAAAGTACATATTACAAATTATCATATGCTTTAGATAAAGTTAAACTTAGATAAAGTTAAACATGTTTTAAAATAAACAAAGCAGACATTACCTAGATTCCCATGCTATTTAAATGTGAATTATATTATTCCGTAACAACCTTTTGGTGCATAATTGAGAAAAATTAATAATTTCCCCAAAATATTATGCCCAGACCTTTAAAATGAGACCCCTCCCAGCTTTTTACGGCCTCCCGTTTGCTCACAATTTCATTGTAAAATTTTGGGCTTACGGAATTAGATATATAGATTAATAGCTTAGTATAAAATAAATACATTTGCCAAGTTTGATCAAAATATATCCATAAACAAGCGAACAACAACATTTTACAATATTCTCCATAAGAATAACATAGGAATTTTTAAATTATTTTTTTAAATTTTCTCTGTTACCAATAACCGTAAAAAAACACTTTGATGTACTAAATTGTTTGCTTTTTTAAGCTCTTTAAAAAGGCATAGAGAAAAATTGGAAAATTTTGTGTTTTGAGGGTCAAAAATGAGAAAAACCAATTTTTACCCCATAAAACTTCGTTCCCATGGTCCGATCATGCTAGTTTGCGAACTCTTTCAAGTTTATGACCGCCTAACACCATTGAACCAAATTTCATCAAAATTGGACAAAATTACTTGAGTTATCGCGTTCACGGACACTATATATATAAAAATTTCAAGGAATAGCGTTTTTGGCCTCTCGGGACATCAACATGAAAAAGTTATTCGGTCACGGGTCTAGATCTTTCTGTGCCACCTACGATAATAGCTACTTCCCTATAAAGAAATTCACCAAAAGGAAAAAAAGGTAGCCTTCAGTGGCGGAGGGGCCCACGATCTATGGAGGCCCATGAACCTTTACCGGCATTTTTCAGGAAATTTTACTGGGACACAGTCCGCGATAGTGTGACTGGCTCAGCCTATTATAACAGTATTAATATGAGAATTACCATACGTTTTTTTGTGGCAACAATTTTTAATACCAGTAAGAGCACTAGGACAAATAGTTTACAACAGCTAAACTGGCACTATTACTTGAACGATCGACATGAATTCTCTACCAACCTAAGTAAAAGAATTGTCATCAGTCATGCAGGTTGCATCAACTGTCCTCGTGGACTGTTTGAAGGCGCTATAATAGGGCCGTATTTAGAACCAATGTGGCCCCCGGCCTAGGAGGATAAAAAAACATTAATGTTATACTTCGGCCGCTGAGAGAGCGACCTACTCTAGCATTGGTTAGCATTAGTGCGCAGGTTGCTTTCTAAGCGGTCAAACAATAATACCCCTAGCCCCCGGCGGGTCACACCAGAGAGGGCCCTATATGCCGATTTAACTAAATGAAGTTGACAATTTTTTTTACGATCAAATCGGGCGAATTGACCGAGGTGGCTGGCTAGGGCACTAGCTAATAAATAATTCCATTCTTTCATTGATGCTAAAGAAGGATTTTAATTTCATTACATTTCTTCCTATTAGTAGCCTGCACTTCAGATTTGTTTACTTTGAGTCAGGTAAAAAATGTTACTTACAAATGGGCCAAATCAGATCGGTTTAAAATCGGTTTGGTTTGGAAATTAGATTTTTTTTTATATAATGTCGATTTTAGAGCCGAGCAAAGCCTGGCCAACATGCTTTCGAGAGATTAAGCACAAAGTCAGAAAATCAAGCCGATTTTCTCAGTACTCAATACAATAATGCCCAATTAAAAATAAAAGCTCTTTTGTCTGTGATGATCACGTTCACGAAATTGAAGGATTAGGCCTACGCTTTTGTCGTTCTTGCGGAAGACGATAATGACGTTTCTTTTGCACCGATAGATATATCTAGGATTTTGCTGTTTCACTACCAGGGCAGACTGAGGGGAGTGCCAGACTCCTGGGCAGCAGTGTCCACCTGTCAGGGACTCAGAGGTGTAGTGTTTGATAGTGACCATTTCATCTTGTTTGTAGGAGGTGGAGCTGTGTCACTACCAGGGCAGACTGAGGGGAGTGCCAGACTCCTGGGCAGCAGTGTCCACCTGTCAGGGACTCAGAGGTGTAGTGTTTGATAGTGACCAACTCATCTTGTTTGTAGGAGGTGGAGCTGTGTCACTACCAGGGCAGACTGAGGGGAGTGCCAGACTCCTGGGCAGCAGTGTCCACCTGTCAGGGACTCAGAGGTGTAGTGTTTGATAGTGACCATTTCATCTTGTTTGTAGGAGGTGGAGCTGTGTCACTACCAGGGCAGACTGAGGGGAGTGCCAGACTCCTGGGCAGCAGTGTCCACCTGTCAGGGACTCGGAGGTGTAGTGTTTGATAGTGACCAACTCATCTTGTTTGTAGGAGGTGGAGCTGTGTCACTACCAGGGCAGACTGAGGGGAGTGCCAGACTCCTGGGCAGCAGTGTCCACCTGTCAGGGACTCAGAGGTGTAGTGTTTGATAGTGACCATTTCATCTTGTTTGTAGGAGGTGGAGCTGTGTCACTACCAGGGCAGACTGAGGGGAGTGCCAGACTCCTGGGCAGCAGTGTCCACCTGTCAGGGACTCAGAGGTGTGGTGTATGATGGTGACCAACTTCACTACCTGGAGAGAGCCACAGACAGCCCTGACGTCCATGACACTGACCACTACCTCTACTCTCACATCAATCTAGTCGCCAACCATACTTGTGGTTAGCATCACTGCAGCTTTGCTGTTATCAAACTGTAAAAAATTGTTTCTAAATCAGTTTGTGTTGAGCAATTAACCAAAAGACAAGCAATTTTTTCAGAGTTTTGCAACTCGCAGGCCATCGTGACTGATTAGATTGATACCACTACATTCCATAATGGAATTGTATTAAATTGGTACTAAGAACAAATAACCGTCCCACAGGCAACGATACAGTTTCAATCCTCGCCCGTTTTTGCCAAGCCTTAAGCCCTCTGTGACACCATTGCGATGCGGGCCCGTCCCATATAGGACGAAGCAGTTTAGACTATTGAATCATACACGAGCTTTCACACCATTGAAGGTTTGCCCGGATGAACCTGAAGCTTTGTCCGAGCTCAAAAATTTTTCCACAAGAACCTAAACTTTCACTGTGGCTCGGACCGGATGGCTAGTTTTTAGAACATTGACTCTTATGTACGCTTTCACACTTGTGCATTCCGAGCTGGTTTCCCCCGGTCATCAATCGGTAGTTTTGACAATCTGCGGCTATCAGTGATTTAGTGTGGTTTATTTTCTTGAAGTTTGTGTTTTTCGATATGGAGGAAGAAATTGATATTTTCATCGAGCACTTCATTCAGTTTGGTCAAGTATTATATTTTGGTTTGGCTCAAAGGCCAGTGACGTGGGACAATACTGGACACAAACCACTATAAACTATGTGTTTTTTGTTTTGTTGGTAAGAATAACCAGGGTTTGGCAAAACCATTTTCTATTTGCCTGTTTAAATAAAAAAAAAATTTGTATTTAATATGTTTAACGATGACATAAGTTTGCTTCTATAGAGAAGGTAATGAATGAGGTGTTTTACATGTATAGATATGCATATATAATTGGCTCTCCTCTGGGCCCATCAAAACAAAAAACAATAAAACGGCAATAGTTCTGTATATTATTAAGCCCCATAAGCCACATACTTCTTCTCCATAGGGAAAAATTCGTTAAAATTGTGAAAGCTTACCATAGTTATGTTGTAAACGAAGCATGACGAGAGGTGCGTTTTGAGCTAAAATCTGATATGCCGTGGACACTCTACAGAAGTAAATGGTAGTGCCAGGTGTTTGAGAGCAATCTTCTTCCCTTCGTCACACCGCAGCCATCACCATAACTTTTGAAAATACTATCAGTCACCCTTTTTACACACATCTTTTCAATCCAAATATCGCCTTTATCATGGGAGCACTGTGCTTTCTTTTCAGATACAACAATTAAAGCATAACAACCTTTATTTTATTCATTTAAATCTCTAATGCTCCCAAAAGTTTCAAAATTTCAGCCTGGAAACCCCCACATCCGTGCAGATAGTGTGAAAGAGCCTTCCGGGCCAGGCCGCGCATCGCACTGGTGTTAAAGAGGGCATAAAATGCCAGGTGCTATTTTGAATTATAGTACATAATTTTATTTCAAATTTTTGTTTGAATAATTCAAAACAGTACTGAAACTGATTCTTAATTGTCTGATAAAAAATTAAAAAGCAAAGCTGCAAGATTAGGTTTATTACTTAATTTTTAATGGGTTTTATATTATAATGAGGTAACACAAATATACTATAGGAGTTTTACTACTTTAAAAAGATAAAACAAAAAAAGATAAAAAAGATAAAAGTTTCCTATACAAGCTGGGTGTTCCTAGGCGCGGAGAGTGAAGTGCCCTCCGCTTGTCTTATGTGTTTTAATGGTACTGTTTTCCTAGAAGCAGAGCGACCACCACGGGAAGCAAAGACAAAGCTTCTCCACGTTCCGCGATTAGTAAAGGAATGACCTTGTTATTAAACGGCTCTGTTTTTCTAGAAACCGAAAACCGCTCTTCCGCGTTCCTCTGCTCCAAGAGCCGAGAAGTCCGCTTTCCGCCTGCAGACTGGCTGGGTCTCTGTACATTTATCAAAGTACCAATTGATCGAGCTTTGCTTGAGTCAATGAGAGCAGTAGTCTTTTGTCAATTCCACTCATCCAAATATATTTATTAGCAAATTTTTAATATAGGGAATAAGCTGTTGCTGTAGGTCACATGGTAAAATCTGAACACGGACCGATTTACTTTTTTGTTTTGAGGTCTCTAGAGACCAAAAACACTATCTGTTCTGATTTATATGTACAGGGTGTTCGAGGAAAACAATTCGGGACTATTGGATATGATTCCATGTTGGATAAAATAAAAATGAGTCATTGCTTGCGAAACTTTGGAAGCTATCCTTAAGCTCATTAAACTCATTATGAAAACTTTATCACTCACTACTTTATAACTAACTTTATCACTATCTTTATCACTATCAATTTCTTCTCTTAAACTCTTGGCTACTGAACAAGAGAAATCATTAAACTTGTTTGCTACATCGGCTGGAAAGCTAATCAACATATCATTATTATCTTTCAAGACTAGTATAGATTTATTAATTTATCCATTTCCTGTTAATTTTGTTATAAATATCCATTGTGGTTTACTATTGTTTTTTTGTTGGTTTCAAATGAGTTGAAGTAGTAGCGTTGTTTTGCACATCTAATCTAATTTTATCAGGGCGTTCTTCTCGTTTATGCATCTGTTCTTTGAAAGTGTCATCAGAATTTTTTACATGTTCCTTATAATTTTTATTTTTTTGGTCAATGCTATTTTTTATTGTTATGTTCATCCACAGGGTTTTAAACTTACACTTTGTTTGATATGACAGAGATAAAAGATATGCCAGAACATGCATATATACCCTGATATCCTCCATTTTGTGTTTTACGCATACAGTAAACATTTTTATCTTTGAAATTTTCTAACTGATCTTTATGAAACTTGGTATATATATGTTAAAATAGGAGTTTTTGTTGATCTTTTAGTGAATTCCCCTATAGGGAAGTAGCTAGTATTATTGTAAGGCTACAACACCCGGGACTGATAAACTTTTTCATTTTGATGTCCCAAGAGGCCAAAAACACTATTTGTTCATATTATTATGTATTATGTATGTATATGCAGGGTGTCCTTTGCTGTAAGTAAACAGCTTAACTCCTGGAAATGGTTCATCGGGTCAAAATAAATAGAAAATAAAGAATAACATTTGTTCCGAAATAGCATCGTTAACTAAATCAGAAATTTTGTATTTTGCAATGTTACATGTCATTTTTAGAACATTCACTACATTCATTCTTTAGTTATATAATTCTTCTTCTTTTATTGTACCAAAATTCGCCATATAGCCTATTTAAATAAATTGTCAGAAAATTAATAGTAAATTTAAATTATATTATCCTTTAATCACCCCTCAGAAACCATCATCACATTTTAAAATATATTGTATACATTCAACACATATTATTGTTAATAAAAACCTGTAACCTGTAATTAAGTCCATAGTTGCAATAACACTTTTATCCAAAATTATTAATATAGTATAAATTATTTTTAAAACCCCCACATTAAATTAATATCCAAAAGCCTGATTATTAGTGCACGTGTAAGTGATGAAGAAAGAAGACAGCTGGCTTCAACAATGAACTGATCAACATCCTGTGTGAAATTAAAAATTTTCCTCCTTCTCTATTGGGACATGGCAGCTTAAACACCTTAAATTCAGTGAGGGTATAATCCCTAACATTTAAAGTCAAAGTGATTAAAATTATTTAACTTAACATTAACTTAACAACAGAAGAACAATTTAGCTTTTATACATACATTTTTTTTTCATTTCAAATTTGTACTGCCACCTCAAGATTTATATAAATTGGACACTGTTACTGAAGATCTGGTGAGAACTCTCCATTTCGTATAGGCTTAGCCTACCTTCAAGAAATTCAACTTAATAGACCTATTTTATTTACTTTCTGATCATCGAACCTAATTATTTGAATTCAAAAACTACTTTATTTTCATCAATAATAATCCCAGAAAAACAATTTGAACAAGAGAACTAAATTCAACTTTGATAAATTTTTTAGGTACCTAGTCTATTCATTGTTGGACTTATTTAATTTACCTATCCAAGCCTAAGAGCAATATCAAAATTATCCCATTTTTCATAATAATTGACATATTTTATTTCATAAATTAAAATATTTGAAGATCTTTTTAGCCAGCCGAGTTCCCCTCCCTGAGATTTATGTAATTAAACTTAAAATATCTTATTATTAACTCATTCTTCTGTTTTTACTGAGCTAGGCTAAACCAAAGATGGCGACCCTGTAACTTAACTTATCTGTTCATTTAAATATCAAACCCCATTCATCATTGTAATATCTTATTCCTAGCCTAGTTCATTAAATTTTTATTGTTAAGAAATTCTTCAGCTTAATAATTTGTCTTGCTATAAGTATATTTAATCTAGGCTTAACTTAGCATAATAAATAGTAAGTAAGTTAAAGGACAAACCTGAACCAAATTTTATTAACTTAGTCCAAATTATTAAAAACACGAAACGCATCGTGTTTTCTTTTAATTTTTCACATGAACATTTTTTGTATTGGTCATACTGATATTTATGAATCTTTGAGTGCATGTTAAAAGAGGACCATGTTGGGGAAAAATTGTTTTGGTCTCACTAAACATTTTAGAATGTTGGCCATTTAACATTTTTACATTTAAGTTACTAAAATTTGGATAATTTGATAAAAGACTGTCAGGAACACCCTTATTGAGCGTTTTAAATTCCTTATCAAATGTAACAAAATTCAAAAAGATCAAATAACAAATAAGTGAAATGTCAAGTTGTTTAGTTGTAAAATGAGGTAGAACAAGGCTAAGCTAATTAAGTTTGGTTTGACTCATTTTACAACTACAAATATTAATATTTCAGCTATTTTCATGTTATTAGACCTTTTAGCAAATTTTCCATATAGGGAATAAGATTTTCCAATTTTTCCAAATTTTCCATATAACCGTAGGTCTAATGGTAAGACTTGGACCCAGGACGGATTTACTTTTTTATTTTGATGTCCCTAGAAGCCAAAAACACCCCCTGTTCAAATTCATATATATATATGTGTGTCTGTTAGCACGTTAACTCAAGCAAAAATGATCCGTTTTCGATGAAATTTTGTACAATTGGTACATTTGGTTTTTCTCGTTTTTGACCCTCAAAACATAAAAATTTTCCAAATTTTCTTTATATACCTACCATTTTGAAGAGCTTAAAATAACAAATAATTTAGTATATTGAAGTGTTTTTGTATGGTTATTGGTTATGGAGAAATTTGTAAATAAAAAATTTCCATGTTATTCTTATGGGAAAAGAGACCAATGCTATTTTTAATTTTTTTAAATAGTTATTGTGATCCAATTCAAAACTTCAAAATGGCAGCCATTTAAATTTTGTTAACGCTACCAAGTTCAAATACCCATTTAACATACCCAGTTCAAATAAATAAGTAAACTGTTGTAGTTTGCTTGTTTATGAATATATTTGGATCAAACTTGGCAAATCAATTTATTTTATACTAAGCTAATAATATTTTACCAACAAACACACTTTATTACCCTCCCTGTAGGCAGCAAACCTAGGTACTCGTTAAACCTAATGTTATTTGATTAGATTTAATTGAAAATCAAATCAGGCAAATGGAAATTCGCTTAGTCTGCAGGTTTGCTGCAGCGGGGGTATTTGAACTTGGTATCATTTAAAAGAAAATATTAAATGCTAAATACAGTATTCTTGACATTCTTTCATAAAATCAGCCAGTTTTTTGTTATTGGAATTTAAAGAATTTATTGTAAATTAAATAAAGTTAAAAAAAAAAAAATTGCTGCTATTTTGAAATTTTGAATTGGAACAAAATAACTACAGTATTTAAAAAAATTCAAAATAACATTGGTCTCTTTGCCATTAACATACTAAATTTCATAAAGATTGGATGGAATGACCCGAAAATACAAATGTTAATGTGAAAAATACAAAATGGCGGTGGATATCTGGTTGATGAAGCGCTTTTATTGTATACATTAGGTGCTCTTTACTTTGACCCATGAAACAATTTTCCAGAGTTTTGCTGTTTACTTACAAGACACCCTGCTGTATATAAATTTAATTTAGTTTCTTAATATTTCTGTAAGCTGCCCATATACAATTTTTACTGGAGTAACAATGATAAAATTTAAGTGAAAATTTGAGATAAACATGTAAACCTACTTTTATGAATATACGAATGATCAGGGTTTTATGGGGGTTTTAATAGCGTAAAAATTTGAGTTTCTCATTTTTGGCTTTTAAAAACATAAGAGGTTTCCAGAACTATTTGTAACGCTTGAAAAAACTAATACTTTAGAATACAGAAGGGTTGTTGTACACTAAATGTTGTCCGAGAAAAGTTAAATAATCAATTTAAATTCTACTGGAACTTAAATTAATAAAAACCAAAATTAGTTGTGAAAAACGTGAGTCTCCTTTATATTACTTTTATAATCAAAATGAACTATAACGAGCCATGGCTCGGTCCCCCGTTATTTTAAGATAAATAGGGCTCTTTACAGACAATACTGTATTGAACTCAGCCTGGAGACAAACCCGCAACAAACACAATTCCGCTAGCGGAGTCCGCTCTCCCTTCTGCGCCTAGAAAAACCCAGCTTTAGGAGTTTTTTGACTTCTGCTAGTCTAGAAATTGAAACAAAACCCATATTCTTTAAAATCCCTTGTATGATGTTATGGAGGTTATTGGAAACTTAGAGTGATGCTTGAGTTTTGAATCGCAACATTGGTGGCAACCTCACATATGACATCATTGTTCTTGAACTCCAGTGTAGTTCTACTCTAATAAAGAATAACATTCATATCAAGTGTCAATATTCAAATAGAGTGTATGCTGCTATACAAACTCCAATAATTGTTAACCAAACTATTATACAAGTTTTATGGTAATTACAAGTTTAATAGGCCTGCTGATTTAAGTTTTTGTCGCCAATCTAAGAGGTACCGGAAGTAAGTGATAATTTCAGTTTACTATGTAAATTCAATATAGAACATACTAACTAAGAGTGTAGATAGACCTAACAGGATTTACTTGGCTCTGCCTGTTAAACTAGTTACTGTAATGACATTAGAGTGATGGACTGGAGTGTATCACACTATAAAGTGTCAAATGATTAGTCTAATTATTTAATTAAAGTTCATTGAGTTACACATCTCAATGATTACCTATATAGTTTCAATTTGTCCACACAAAATTTATTATAGACTAAATAGTTTTTATTAATGATTAATATCTTTATCCAAATTAATTTATTATTTAGTCAATTTTTTTAGTTTTGTTTTATATCACTAATAGTGGTTTTTGTTGTTTTTGAACAGGTTATCAGGGGACTGATCATAGTCATATCAATGATTTTCACCATCTCAATAGGATAGGTAAACGGGTAAGTGAATGTATACCAACTAGATGAACTGTCCAGCTTCCCAACGGGATGAGAATATAGAAAATAAAAACGTTATTCTTTAAATATACTGTAAAAACCGTTACACACCCACCGACCCACCATTGATTATAGAAGCAAATGTCAATTGTACAGTACCTTACCTTACCTCCTTGGCCACTCAAACCTAAGAAGGTTTTTGGCCTCGCCAACAAGTTGCCTCCACTGCTGCCGGTCTGCCGCCAAGTCAAGAGATGCCCCCCACTCTGTGTAGGTCCTTCTGGACTTGGTCTCTCCATCTCAACTTTGGTCTTCCTAGCTGGCGAGTGCCTCGTGGTTGTCCATTGGCGATCTTCTTAAGCATACTTTCTTCTTCTCTTCTTTCTACATGGCCTGCCCAGTGCCCATCTCAGTCGTCTACTCTTCACTATGGCTACAATGTCCGGTTCTTTGTACAGTTCTCGGAGCTCACGGTTTTTTCTTATTCGCCACATCCCTTCTTCTTTTATAGGTCTGAAAATCTTCCTCAAAATTTTGTTCTCAAAAATGATAAGTTTGTTTTCATGATTTTTAGTTAATATCCAGGTTTCCGAACCATATAAAAGGACTGGTTGAATTAAAGTTTTATAGATTCTTAATTTTGTGTTTTTGGATGGTATTTTTGAACTAAATATTTTTGATACGCCCCAGAAACATTTGGTTACTGCAATCAGTCTCTTTTCTATTTCTGTTCCTCTTTCGTTATTCCAGTTAACTGAGACTCCGAGGTATTTAAATTCGTTTACTCTTTCAAAATTATAGTTATTGACCCTAAAAGGTTCAGCTCCTTCAATTTGGGTTCTTCCGACTTTTAGATATTTTGACTTCTCTTCACTTATTTTAAGTCCAATCTTATTTGCTTCCCTTATGATAATCTCAGTAAGCTTACCTAGGTCCTCTTTTGATTCTGCAACTAATGCAACATCATCCGCAAAAGCAAGTGTGTTAACAGAAATTCCAGTCTTCTCCGAGGCTACTTGTTGGCGCTTCATAACTGGATCCTTTTTCCAAGGTGCCCTACGCTTAACCCCCAATATGAATGGAGGACCGCACCTACTTATGGTCAGCGGGTCCCTTGGACCTAGCCGGGAGGACTGCTATAGCAGATCCACCGACCTTTCCCCTATCCGCCACCCAGGGGACGCTCCGTATACGCTGAAGTAGGACAGCGCACGGGTCAATTGTACAGTATCGCTCTTAATAAATTATTTAGATGTATCTATTAAAATCATTGAAAGAGAGAGAAGGGGATATGGCTATATGTTTTTAATGAGAGGTCCTAAAACCAAGATCCCACAGGATTTGAAAAATTCCTAGCTAATGGCAAAAATAAGGAATAACTGGTCAACCTGCTACATAATGAATGGGCTCAGCACAAATATGCATATATTCAAACGAGCTTTGATACACATTTCTAAGGTACTTTTTGGCGATATTTTGATATCCACCCCCCACCCCCCACCCCAAACAGGGTTGCTGAGGGTAACTTAAAGACTTTTAAATGGCAACCCATATCAAGTAGCACATTATTTTAAAGAGCTTTAAAAAATAAAATAAATATTGGAAATCCGATTTTGATACGATGAATTTTCTTCCACGATCCTTACGACCTTCTTACGACGAACCTTATACATTCCAGTTAAATTAACGTCTAACATTTTTTTATAAAATTTCTTTTATTATAATAGAATCTCTTAAAACCTCTTTCCTAGGTATTCGTTAAACCTAATGTTATTTAATTAGATTTTGTTAAAAATCAATTCAGGCCAATTAAAATCTGCATAGTCTACAGGTTTGCTGTAGCGGGGGTATTTTATTCACTTTTTTTATTTTCATTGGAAGCCTTTGAATACATACTGAACAAGTTCATAAAAAATATTGCACCAGTAATTAATGTAGGCTACCCTTTAAATTTAAATAAAACAGTTTTTCTTTATTTTCCGGAATATGCTGTAATTTAAAAGAGGCAAACAACTGAAGTCTAAATCTGGTAGGTAATACCAACAAAAAAAGTATAAGTCATAAATTCCCACGGGGGGGGGGGGAGGGTTTCATATTGGTGGCTCGTGGTCTAATTGGTCTGTATCTTCCGGTCGCGCATGTGCTCTAAAGTTAGAAAAAAATTAAAAAATAAATTTTTTTCAAAATTTTTTAAAGTTTTAAAACTTTTAATTTTTAATATTAAAAATGCTATCTGCAAGACACTAAGAAATTGATATTTAAATAATAGTATTGTATGTTAAGATCTTCCGGTCGCGCATCGGCTGTAAATATGGCCAAAAATCTAGAAAAACTTAATTTTTTACTATACTTAGCTTATTACTAGAGTAATTATGCAATAAAAACCCCATTAGCAGTCTCAAATCCATTAATATTTTATCACGACAATCAAGTGTCAAGTCAAGTACTTCCAAGAACTGTTGACTCAGTAGTAGCTTACCTCATAAAAGTTGTATCACTTTTATTCCTTTACAACTTCTTTATTTATTACTAGGGTAATCATTATTAGATCCCAAACTTATTTTATCATGGAAATAATAGTTTTATATAATGGCTGTTAAATTTCACTTCTTACTTGTACTTTCGTCTTGAAGATTGCCTAGTGCCATAAAACTGTTTATGGTTTCATATAAAACATGTAACTAATCTAAAGTCTTATTTTGTAAGTTAAACCCTTTTTTTATGGATATTTTATCTTTCAGTTGACAAAACCACAAGCATTGTTGTTTGCATTAATTTTTTATCACTACTTAGGCCTACTTGGTTTCAAATTATGTCATTGCATTTTCTGTATCTTTGTAAATTGTTGGCGGTCAGGTTTCAATTTTTTTTATTTCCCATATTTATTTACTGCGTTGTATGCTTTGAGCAATCTAAATCTTATGAACTAGAATGATGATATTGTAGTGACTTTGCTGGTATTTCTAACCTCATTGTTTGTTACTCAGTTTATATAGGCCCTCCTAAATAATTAGGCCTAGGCCTGGGTATTTTGATTCTTTGAAAGTGCTGTAAAATATATTAAGAAAATGTAATTGAGCCTAAGATAAACTAATGATTGCTATGTGTCGATATTAACTTTGCAGATGGAAAGACAATAATCTTACTCTGTGCTTACTGGTAGCCGCTTACCATACCGATTTTGTACCTAGAACCGAGTTACAATATATTCATTATGCATTAAAGGTTTTTTTTCAAAAGTAGTCGAGAACCTATCGTTGTGCCAGGGTGAATAATGCAAAATTAATCCGCCTGGATCGGATAAGCTATGTTATGATGTTTCCGTGACCGATGGAGATATTTAGGATTTTGTCGCTATTGCAGGTGACAATGATTGTGTTTTTTTTTTGTTACACTATCAAAGCTGTACCTAAAGTATATGTTTGTTTACTTTCAATAAGTTTCTATTTAGAAATTTAATTCTTGTCTATTATTATTTACTTTTCTCTCTGGAACAACTACAATGAAGAACAAGATTAATACAGTTTGACAAATCAGGAATATTATTCTGTAATCACACCGACAAAGGTCCTTAAATGTACGGGAATTGTCCATTAATTTTTTATCCAGAATGTAGTAGACACCCTGAATATACAAGTTTAACTGTAATAATGATAAAAATACAGTGGTAGGTTCCAGGATATAAACTCATAACATCGCTGACATTGAGTTGTAAGACATGTTATTTGATGTTGCAGTTCAAGAGGTCAGAAGAGGTGATCCGAGGACCATACAACGCCAACGCTAGGTCGAGCTATGTGGAGCTGGTGTTGGTGATGGACAACAAAGAGTACAAGGCACTGGGAGAGAACATGGACAAGGTGAACAACCACTGCAAGGACATAGCCAACATCATCAATGCTGTGAGTCCTCACTATCCATGGTTGATTGGAGCACTACTGGTCTAGTGTGTAGAGCAGTGTTTTCCAACCAGTGTGCCGCGAAATTTTAAGTAGTTAAAAAATTGTTTATCAAGAAAGAAACTTTTAATGAGCAAACGTCGAGCACAAATTTCCCACTAGAACTCAAACCAGGGTTTATTAAATATTTCTCACTTGTTATTGGTAAATTCATACAAAATTTTAATCAAGCTCAATGTTTTATTATTATTTAAAACTTGCCACTTAATAAACACTAAATAATGTACACATGTTAGATAACAAATGTGAGTTTTATATTTTTTACCTTATATATATATACAGGATTAGTAAAAAGTGTGGAGACCCCCTGTTATTTTTTTACGGCCCATACTGGAAAAACTAAATTCGGCACACCTTTATGAAGTACTTTTTGGGCATAACCGTCACTTGCTGTACATCCCCAAAATGGGGGATTTTGGGGGAGACTCAAAGACTTCAAACACAAAGACCCATCGACTGACCCCTCATTTTGAAGGTCCTGGTAAAAGAAAACCAACAACGCAAACTAGAGGTCTTTATCTCAATCCAGTAAAAAATGACAGCCAATTGAAATTCTCAGAAGTTAAATTTAACCATTGACTATATATACCTAACTTACAGCTTTCCAAGTCTAGAGACCCGCTGTAAATTTTGTGGCGGCTCACACTAGGATAACTAAACTCTTCACACCTTTTTTAAGGGGTCACTCGATGGGGCTTATCATTTAAAATTTTTGAGTTTCCCCCAAAATCCCCCATTTTGGGTTTGGGAACTTATGAGAATTTCGATTGGCTGCCATTTTGTACTGAACTGAGATAGAGACCTCTAATTTGCGTTGTTGGTTTTCTTTTACCAGAACCTTCAAAATGAGGGGTCACTCGATGTGTCTTTGTATATGAAATTTTTAGTTTCCCCCAAAATCTCCCATTTTGCGGATGAACACCAAGTGGCAGTTATGCCCAAAAAGTACTCCATAACATGCCATAATGGTGTGCCGAGTTTAGTTTTTCTAGTATGGGCCGTTAAAAAAATAACAGGGGGGTCTCCACACTTTTTACTAACCCTGTATATATAGATTTACTAGTAAAGAATAGGTTTTACGGAGTAAGATGAAATTGAAAAAAAAGTTTTTTATGCACTTACTAAATGTAATTTTAACCAACGATATTTTGTAGACAAGTGTGCCGTGACTACAAACTTGTTCTAGTTAGTGTGCCCTGAACGGAAAAAGGTTGGGAAACACTGGTGTAGAGGTTCAAATACAGTACTGCTATTAGGCTATCAAAGACTTTTAGTCTAGCTATGTGATAAGGTGACCTGGTAGTTGGGAGCATAATGTTTTTGAAAAGATTTATGTTTTTTAGAGGAAAAGAACTCCTTATTGGAGGTTCCGTATTGGGCAACTCCTTCCGCTAATAGCCTCACAATAATCTATATCTATATATCTATACTTATTTAATACGTAAGCAGATTTTTTGTGACAATTACTCTTAAACTACTGAACCGATTGACATGTTTTTGGTGTCATTGGAAAGAGCGTAACGTGAAGTTGTGCAGGAAACTTTTTTTATAGGGAAATAATTAGAGAGTGAGGCCCGGGGCCCTTTAAAGTTTCGTATTTCTCCATAAGATTAACATGGGAAACAAACATTGTTATGAAACTCCAGCTGTTGTCAGAAATGCTGTTCTGCTATTTAATTTAATTTGTTTACCAGGAGAATTGTTTCTTGGTGCCATGTGGTCAATAAGTTATACTTTTGCATATATTTTAAAGGATATACACTATATAAAATGATGGTACTGTAATACATTAAGAGATATTCATTTAATCAATAAGTACGATTGAACCTTTGCCTATATGTTTCCTGGTAGCCTAAGTGTGTTGTAACTGTTCCTTATAGTATATTATTATAGTATCTTAAAGTAAAACAAAATTATTCTTTTCTGCATTCTCACCCCGTAGCGAAGCACGGGCAGAGCAACTAGTATATACTTATTTAATACGCAAGCAGGTTTTTTGTGACAATTACTCCTCCGAAACTACTGAACCGATTGACATGTTTTTGGTGTAACGTGAAGTTGTGCAGGAAACTTTCTTTTTAGGGAAATAATTAGAGTGTGAGGCCCTGGGGCACTTAAAAATTGTGTATTTCTCCATAAGATTAACATGGGAAACAAAAATTGTTATGAAACTCCAGCTGTTGTCAGAAATTAAAAGTGAGAAGAACATTTTTATGTTAATTGTAAACAGTCGATAAGTTTACTGACTTGGTTGAAATGAAATATTTACTATTTGAATTCGGGTTGGCGTAAATATTACATTGGAAAAAAGCGAGAGAACCTGAATAATTTGTTATACTAAAAAGAAAACTGAATTTACACTGTGCTGCATTTATTAGTAATCATTGAAAGAGCCGATTTGCAAACTTTGGAAATATAGGAAAGTCATGGAACACTACCAAGGAGAAGAAAAAAAAAAATGTTTTTTTTTTAATTTATAATCGTTATCATGGACAACCTAATGCGGCTATGAGTAAGGCTGTTTGTAGAAAACACTAAAAAATAAGATCTGCTTTTGAAAAATGATAAGATACTTACAAGAAATGTTGATTATACCGATCTGTTCCGTACAGCTTGAGTATTTCTATAATCTTAGAGTCAAATCTTTTAAAGTCATCAGAAATTATGACTGTTATTCGTTTCAAAATAACGCCAATAATACTTAACAACTGCTCGAATTCGAGCAACAGGGACACTAGTTTAATTAAATTTGTTATGAGATTGAACATTTTATAAAAACAGTTTAATTTTAACTTCAGAATTCGTATCCAAAAAGTATAGAAAGTCTAAGATTGTCATATATATTTTTTTGTAAGTATGACATCTGCTGTCTCTAGCATAATTGATCTCTTATAAAGTGTAAGTAGGCGTATTTCAAAGAAAATATAACACTATTATTTTGCTTGCCACTTTTAAAGAATGTGTATTCTACCACACAGATTATTTTTATTGCAGCTGTACGTGCCTTTGAACATCTTTATTGCTCTGGTGGGTGTAGTTGTGTGGACGGAGTATGACGAGATTGCTCTCTCTGCCAACGGAGACACAACTCTGACCAACTTCTTGCACTACCGTCGCGAGAAACTGGTTAAAGAACATCCTAACGACAATGCTCAGCTGTTAACGTAAGTTTCATTGTTCAGCTTTATTGTCTGTATGACTTTTGTCCAAAGCTTAAAACCAGGGAAACTTTTGTAGTACACTTTAAAATTTTAAATGTCTGTTGAAAGATTTTCGTTGTTTATATTATGTCCACAAGTGTAAGTAAAACCTTTTTAAATTGAAACCTGGTTGAACTGAAACCATCATAAAAAATCCAAATAAATTGAGAAATGAGCAAGCAAAACAGGAATTGATTGTTCTCTTTACAGAATATATCTCTTTGAACTGACATAGCCTTAAAACTTCTACGATTTCAAAATAAACTGAAAAAATATATAGTTTTAACATGTTTGCTACCGATCGCCACATATTTGCGACACTGTGGTCATTGCCACGGCCCAATGTATACATTTTAATATTACACATAGACTGGGTGTCACTTGGATAACAGTACACATAGACCGCAGGCCAGTGATGCTGCAAAGTAAAAATCAGTTTTGCCAACTATCATATCATTAATCATCATATCCACAGACCAATTGACGCACATATGCGACAGACATCCCTGTAAACCACTGCAGAGAATTCAGGACCTTCAAATAGACCGTTTCAAAGATATAAGCTTTTTAACAACATTGGACACCGACGCAAATATGCGACAACAGTCTATTTTAATATGACCATCTTTCGCATATATGTGACGGCAGTCTATGGGGGGTCTATGTGACCTGGCCGTCGCATATGTGTGTCGCTGGTCCATATTAATGAAAAATTTAGTACACTATCGCGGTAGCGAACAAGTTAAAACGGCTTTGCCTAGGGTAATTAAAGTTTTACTGAATGATGAAATACAAACTGTATTTCATGTATGCGTGTTTGCAGAAAGTGTTTTTTGGTACCTAATGATGAGCTGTTGTTAGGAAGCACTGTTAACAAAGGCACCTTATCCGGGTGTATCATTCTCAGGACAAATTCAGCAATCCTATAGCCATTCCGTTCAGTTCATTGATGTAAGATACTATATACAATTTAGGCGCTAGAAAAAAATTGGACGAGGGATCTTCATGCAAGATTTTTATAATAGGGTAGTCGATGTGTGTTGAGTGAGGGTAGTTGGGGTAGTTTTTTTTTTAGGTAAAAAATAAAAAAATTGTGTACCTTCGGGTGTTAGGCCAAAATTGGGTCTTGTAGTTTTTAAATTTGAACAATAATGAGGAAAGTTAAACGTTTGCAAAATTAGAGTGATAAAAATTCACCTTGTCGATGCTGTGGCATTGTACAATAGTCAATGGTAATAGTTACGATAACGAATAATAAAATGATACTAAAATTCTAAACTGGGCCATCCCTCATATTTATGTTCAGGAGGATCCAGTTTGAGGGTGGAGTAGTGGGGAAGGCTTTGAAAGGTCCGATCTGCACGTTTGAGTTCTCAGGAGGAGTCAGTATGGACCACAGTGCTGTGGTGGGACTAGTGGCTACTACAGTGGCTCACGAGATGGGACATAACTTTGGTATGGAGCATGACTCCAGCGACTGCCAGTGTCCTGACGACCGTTGCATCATGGCTCCCTCCTCCAGGTAACGTTTCATTACAGTTCATGATAGTTCAGATTCTAGTTTCAAAAACTATAATGAAAAATTATTAAACTTTAATGAGTTAAGTGATTTCTGTGGTTTGGTTATTAATAACTCGCACATTTGTATCTTTTATTTACCTGTACATGTGGTAGTTGTGCCAGAATCAGTTTTGAAAAAAATTCTCTATTAACCCTTGTTCACTAATGTTTTCTTAGATGTCAATTTCCATAGAATAATTATGTTTGTCATTGTTTGTTACTGAGTGTGAGTTTACTAACTGAGCATTGTATGTCTATCAGCTCTATGAGTCCCACCCACTGGAGCTCATGCAGTCTCGAGTACCTGGCTCTGGCCTTTGAGCATGGAATGGACTACTGCCTTCGCAACAAACCAACCAAGTAAGCATTAAGTCACCAATCATGTTACAGTCGTTACCCTTAAGCTATAAGTTCAAAATGTCACTTTTTTGTGAATTTCCCATATAGGGAATAAGCTAGCACTGTAGGCCTCATGGTAAGACCTTAACCCAGAACCGATTTACTTTTTCGTTTCGATATCCATAGAGGACAAAAACACCTTCTGATCAAATTCATATATGTATGTCCGACATCCGTTGTGTAACTCGGGTAAAAATTATTTGATTTTGACTAAATTTGGTACAAATATGTAAACCCATGTTTATTCTAACGAGTAAACTATTTTGGAACTGGAAAAAAAACAAATCATTTTGTATATTGAAGCATTGTTGTTTGTCTAATCGTTACGGGGAAAGCTCCAAAATAGTGTAAATCAAAATTACAATGTTATTATTATGGGGAGTAAACTGTAGTAGTTTAGTTTTTTATGGATATACTTTTGAATATAGCAAATTTGTTTATTTCATTCTAAGCTTTCTACATTTCAATAAGGAACCTTATTACCTTCCCCGAAGCAGCAAACCTATAAACAAAGCTAATAAGGATCACAAACTTTTGAGAAAACCGTAAGCCGCATATCAGTCAACAGCATAATTACTTGTATGACTGGTCTTGATGTGAAACTCCCCCGAAAAATATCAGTTTTTCACTAACACTGTGGATTATAGAGTCTACATAAGGGCACGAACCTCTATTAAATTGGCTGTAACACATTTCAAATTAGAGGTGTGCGAGCGGCTCGATTTTCGAGCCGAGCCGAGCCTGACCTTGAGGCTCGAGTGATCGAGCACAAGATCAGAAAATCGAGCTCGAGCCGAGCTTTTTCAATTTGTATATATATCCAATTGTTGTCAAGCAAATGTTATTAATTTGTTGATGGATTGTTACAAATAAAAACATAAAACTTTTCCCATTCCCTACCCTTTAATTTATAAGTCTAAACGTATTGTGTAACCATGAAGAACATCATTCAATGCAAGAAAGACAACAAGTGTATGTGACTTGACTGACTGACTGACATTGTGACATCGGCAGACAACCAATAATTATAACTAGGGGAAACCCGTCGAAATCGACGGTTACTTTCAAGGCTTACGTTAATTCATCTAACTGCGATGAATTGGGTGAAATATACATATTTTGAGCATTTAACATTGTTCAAAGAGTAATAAGTGTAAAAAAATAACAATATTGCGTTAGTTGCCAAATTTGGTTGTTCATTCAAAAAATATTTCCTATCCTGTACGTCATCGGAGTTATTATTAGTATGTTATATGGTATCTCTTCCTTTGGTAGAACCTTTAAATAGTATTTAAATCGTATTGGTGGATCTTGTAGTTAAACACTTCCGTGATTTCATCAGTGTAATATGATTTTATTTGAAAAGAAAATATTTTTTGGGAAGACATATTCTAATTTCAAAGAGAGGTATATCCGTTACAGTGTAAGTTTGATTTTTCCTTCGTCACGTCACGTCAGTTCATATCGTACTTCTGTGCCAATGAATGAACCCTCTAGCATAGTTATGAGAAATTTATTGTGGGGTTACTGTTAAAGCTGGAATTCCTTGACATGGGGGATGTCAGTTAGTTGTCTCAGCCTTATCAATAACATAAAGTTGTCAATATAATCGCTCTACGGAATGTTAGGTGTAGTGGAATACTTGAAGTGAAGTTGGCTTTTATTCTTGAACTGTTAGGGGCCTCCTAGTTCATATGATCTTGGCGGCTTCATTGGCAGTAAATAATGCAAATGACATAGCAATGGAACATTTCCAAAAAGCAAAAATACTGTAAAATGGCTGTTACGTATATATTGACGTTTACATATTGTTAATCAACGTATATGATAAATACTTTAATCCTTTAATACGTTTTTTATGGCGACCATTCATAGTAGGTAAGCCAAGTATGAATGGAGATGAGTGTAGGATGAGTGGCACGATCTTGAAGTCTTGTTAGTGACTAAGGCCGACATTCCTTGGATACAGCTGTTAACTAATAGCCCATACAGCGAATGGCAACCAAGGGACCTACAGTTTATAGTTGAATTGGAACCAAATTTTTTTTTGCATTGGTATTTATGAATTGGTATAATTATCAGGATAGCACTGCGGGTAGTTGTAATACTCACTCGTGCGGACGTTAATCCACACCAGGGAGTATCGCATCCACAGTGCATTCCTATAAATATCCACAATTCGTGACCTCCTTGTAGCTGGATTACAGGACGACGCCACCCGTCCCAGTCAAAGGATTATGTGATCTAGTTTAAAAGGAATATGACCTTTCTGTCATGACAGTAGCTGCTTAAATGGTATTTTCTCTTTGTACCATATTTTACAGCCAAAATGTCGTGTTATTTTCAATAATGTCACAAATTCGGTGCGCCAAAGTCCGTAATATAGGCAGGTGCAAATAATTTGTCAAGATAGGTACCATTTTAGGCAATGTTTCTAAGTTTGGATTTTATTAGACACAATAAGAGCAGATATTTCTACATAAATATTTGATATTTTGTAGAATAATATGTTAAAATGTAGGCAAAAGTGGCGAAAAAGGCACACACCAACCCGTACAATAGATATAAGATAGTTCAATAAGAAATAATTTAAGAATTGCTGTGATAAAAGGATTTTCCACTGATTTCGTAATGGAACGTTATATTGCAAAACATGGCATGATAAAGAAGAAAATCAATTTTAAAATCAGAAAATAACATTGCAAATACTTATTTGGTAGAATTCAACTCCCAATAAATAAGTGTTGTTTGAAATACAATTTAAAAATGAACAGCTGTTTCATTAAAAAGTATTATTCTCATGGCCAAAATGTAAACAACTCTGTGGAGGGATCTTTTAAGGCTTCTGGGGCAGTGTCCTAAGGGATTTTGCTTAGTTTTTCTTTTGATAACTCATCTACAGACCAAGACCTTTCTTTGGACACCTCTACCAAGTTTCTACGCCCAACCGTTCTCTCAAATTAGTGGGGACAAAGTTTCCAATCAAAAATTTAGATTCCCCCACGTTAATCTTATGGGAGAAACTCCATTTTTGATGGCCTGTGGGGCAAAGCCCGAGGATTTTTACTACATGAATTGGTGAAAGGGGGCGTCTACACGAAAAATACTTTATTTTGACACGTCGTTTGTAAAAATCCGTCCATTATTAACGGAGGAGTAGTGTTTTCTAGAAATCGCCTTCACGTATTATATATAAGGATTCAAGGTTAGTAGATAGAGACGTCTAGACTGCTGTGGCAAGAATATTATTGTGGTGTAAACGTTATTGACAATAAAGTATAATGTTGGAATATTTTATAAATCATAAAAGTAACCTAAAACCCATATTCAATTGAGTGATAAGTTACTGCAAGGAAGGAACATCAATGGATCGGAATTTGGAATCAGAATGACACAATGTCCACATTGGGTCTTGTCAGAAAGATCAGTTCCACTCCACTTCAGTACAGGCAGTGTTGCCAGATGGACAAAATTTTTTGTACTTTTACAACTACTGTAGTGGCAAAAACAAAGTATTTACTTTCCCAAAATTAACTACAAATTTTTTAATGAGTTTACATAAACATTATTTAAATTAGTCAAACTATTAACTTTTGTTTACAAAATTAAGAGCTACAGCAATTTTATGATTAATTTTGCTGACATTCACCATAGTGTCAGCCCTACAAAACAGCTGTTTGACAAGAAAACAAAGCTGAACTGACACAATGAATGAGCAGACCGACTAGTGGGAGAAGAGAGAGAGAGAGAGAGAGAGAGAGAGAGAGAGAGAGAGAGAGAGAGAGAGAGAGAGAGAGAGAGAGAGAGAGAGAGGGGAGATGGGTGATGGTGTAACAACACCAAATAATGGAGTGATATGTCACCGTCACCGTCAGTTTTAAATGTTTTTACTTTTAAGTGAATTTGTAACTTAGAATAAAATTGATTTTGTTTATTGGATGTTTAATAGAAAGTGAAATAAACATAGCCTATTCTGTTTGGGACTTTAATTGAGCAATTTTTAATCTGGTGGCAGCAACATGACAACAATGATTGTTTGTAGCATAACATAACCTAGAAAGTGGTGAGTTAATGCCAAATAGGCTATACCCGGCTACAGTGAAATGTGTTTTAATTTTTAATTAAGAGTTAAATTTGGGATTTTATTTCAATATAATTATAGGCCTACTACGATTTTGTTTGATATTTTTAGTCTTTCAGAGATGAGTGACTTAATTCTTATAAATGTTTTGATGAACTTATTATTTGCAATTACATTTATTTATCATAGAAAAAAAGCTCGGCTCGGTAAAAGCTCGAGGCTCAAGCTTTTTTTCATAAGCTCGGCTCGGGCTCGGCTCGATTTAAAATCTCAGGCTCGCACACCTCTATTTCAAATATTGAAGAAATCCATCCATCATCTGTTTGGTTTGTTTGTATTTATAGTTTGTTTACTTTTTTTCCTGAGTTAATCTTTTGATTCCCGTAATGGACGTTTACATTACGATAAAGTTATTAGTTTTGATTCTGCACACAGTTTATTGCAAGTACCCAAGAGATTTTCATTAAAATTATTTTTAGTTTTGCCTGTATAAATCACATGGTAAGTGTGTGTAACTGTTTTCTTGTTTACAGTAGATTCAGAGATCCGCACTATTCTCTTAAAGTATTCTTGCCCCATTGTGAAGCATGGACAGAACAAATAGTTAAAATTTATGTTTTTTTTTAATATGAAATAAATCAGAGAATTTTAAGAAAATATTTCAGTGGAAATCCAGCAAGAAAGATGGAAAAACACTTAGTCTGCAGGTTTGCTGCGGCGGGGGTATTATTTGTATTTTGCTGTTAGCTTTAGTGTATAATATGTAAACAAATACACAGTTATCCGCTTTGTAGGTTACACTGCATAAGGTTACAATATTAGCCTACCAGAGTACACCACAATTTAATCTTGTATGTTGGCAATATCTTTTAATGTATAAACTGTTAGAAATTATTTGATCTAAATAAAGCTCTCTGATTGTAGGAGCAATTTTTATGATCACTGTAAAACCTTACAACTACATTTTTCTCTCAGCACTCCTAGCAAGTTACTGTGCACCCCTAGTCAGATTTTTGTATCAAAAGATACATACATGCAAAACAGATGCAGGGTGTTACATATACCACATTTTTACTACAGTAATTTTCTTTAAATTCTAACTAAGTTACAGTAAAACTTGATAAAACAAAAAAAGTATATTAATAATTTAATGTTTTTGAAGAATTTTATATAGAATTGTGTTGTGTGTTTGTCAGGTTGTTTGACAGTCCAGTCTGTGGCAATGGGTTTGTGGAGGCCGGGGAGCAATGTGACTGTGGCCTCAAGGACCATTGTGACAACCCTTGCTGTAACCCCAACACTTGTATGCTCTTCAGCAATGCCTCCTGTGCCACTGGCGAGTGCTGTGACCTCAAGGTACAAACCTTCAGTACAATGTCCTTGCTCTATAGTCGGGGCCAGGTTAACGCTGGGCAGACCCGCAGGCCATAAAACCGATAAGACCCTATTCAGCCCGGTCCTCGCCACCGAACCCTATTATGCCGCTTCGCTGGGCGCGTGACTCACTGCATCGGCAGTACAGTACGCCAACATGAAAATCTTTATTTTTTTAACTACGTGAAAAATAATGAGATATTCTTGTTCGTCTTAAAATTCTGACAAAATTGATATAAAACTGAAATAAATCGGCTTATTTAATAGTTAATAAATTAATGATAAGTTATGTCATGTAATAACACAGACATTGTATGTTATAAATTATGATATAGTATATGATATAGTATTGGTAAGTTATTCAAAACTTGTCTGATAGAACATAGTTCATAATTATACATGATTAAACTATCTGTTTTACTACTAATCATCAATAATAATTATCCACTTAAATTTGTTTGCAAGTATTTTCAAATTATATGAAAATAAATTATGTAAATATAAATTATGATATAGTATAAAAAGTAGGTCAAAAAGCAGTCAAGGGGGGTCATTACTAATAAGAAAATCTCTGTCTTTTAACATAAAAAACAATAAACGCGCGGATACTTCATTCCTGATAATGCTTTCCGTTTATTTAAAGGTCAAAAGAAAACTTGCTACTTATAAATGCTTAGATCCTATAATAATAATTATTTTAATTAATTTACAATTAATTAATAGTAAACCCGTTGCTCGAAATCAAGGAAATAAATGACAAAAAAAAACATGTAAAATGATCCTGCGTTCACCACTAGTGTAAGACGCCTGACTTCTTCCAACAATGTACTTCCGGGGAGACAATAACTGCTGCTCTGCCATAGCTAAACGTATTCGCAACAGAAACCAACAGCAACTGACCGATATCTCATACAGTGGCGATAAGGAAAACAAACGCCAGGGTAAAGTGCAACATAATCTGAACACTCGACGAACGCGTTACTCATCGCTAATAACGCCGAACAAATCACCAATTTGTAGAAACGAAACACGTCATCAAGGAATGAGGGAGACGCACGTCAATTTTGCGTGTTAAGAGACAAACAACTGTGAGACACTCTTAAAGATCTGATAGTATTATGTTCGTAATTTTCATATAATTTGAAAATACTTGCAAACAAATTGAAGTGGATAATTATTATTGATGATTAGTAGTAAAACAGATAGTTTAATCATGTATAATTATGAACTATGTTCTATCAGACAAGTTTTGAATAACTTACCAATACTATATCATATACTATATCATAATTTATAACATACAATGTCTGTGTTATTACATGACATAACTTATCATTAATTTATTAACTATTAAATAAGCCGATTTATTTCAGTTTTATATCAATTTTGTCAGAATTTTAAGACGAACAAGAATATCTCATTATTTTTCACGTAGTTAAAAAAATAAAGATTTTCACGTTGGCGTACTGTACTGCCGATGCAGTGAGTCACGCGCCCAGCGAAGCGGCATAATAGGGTTCGGTGGCGAGGACCGGGCTGAATAGGGTCTTATCGGTTTTATGGCCTGCGGGTCTGCCCAGCGTTAACCTGGCCCCGACTATAACCCCAACACTTGTATGCTCTTCAGCAATGCCTTTTGTGTGAGCGGTGAGTACTATGAGCTCAAGGTACATTGACCTTCAGTACAATGCCTTGCTCTAACCCCAACACTTGTATGCTCTTCTGCAATGCCTCCTGTGCCACCAGCAAGTACTGTGACCTCAAGGTACAAACCTTCATTACAATGGCCTTGCAGTAACCCCAATACTTGTATGCTCTTTAACAATGCCTTTTTTACCACCGGTAAGTACTGTGAGCTCAAGGTACAAACCTTCAGTACAATGCCCAGAGCGAAGACCAACCAACCTTATGACGATATTTCAGTCTCCAGGGACTCAAAGAACATTCTTTCTACAGGAAGATACTTTATGCATGGTAGCCAGGGTTGTTATACTTCTTGTAAAGAGGGTGTTTCTTTGCGTTTGGTCTCATACTTAGGTATATTACACAAAACCTGGACCCAGAAGTTTAGCAGTAGACCTGCAATTATTATTCTTCTCATATCCAATTTATTTTGTTCAATGGAAGGCTCTAGGCCAAGATTTTTTTGAATTGTAGAAAAAAGGAGGTCTGCTAGCTGCTATGCTATCCTCCTTTTTCTACAATTCATATCCAATTTAACAAATTTAGTTGGACTTTATCTATAGTAAAATTAATATTGACAAAAGATATTTTAGGTATACAAGTATATTATGTGTTGAAAATAGGCAACTAAACTGTTTAATGACCGAGTATTGATGTAAAATTCAATTAATCAATTAATGTTTGCTGATTTTGTTTGCAGACATGCAGACCCAAAACTATAGGTACACTGTGTAGAGAGGCTGACCAAGAGTGTGACTTGGCTGAATACTGCACTGGACAATCAGAGTACTGTCCTGAAGATGTCTTCAAGATGGACGGCATCAAATGTAACAAGGGCAAGGTAACACTAACACTACTACGCCTGCTCAGTAAATTATACCATATTGCTTGAATTGAAAACTGATTAATAATAACTTGGATTCATCAGTCGTGCATCAGTGAGAGTTAAAATCAAATTCTGTTTAAGTAAATAAAACCATTGAAGAATTTATTTGACTTCTCCATGAATGTTGTTTAATCAGAATGTTCTTTTATGACTAGTTTAATATAAGGAGCACCTTTTTTTGACGAGCCTGATTATTAAAGTAGTAGATTTTCTTCAATTTGAACATGCAACTTTGGTTTTGAAGACTACATTTTGTCATTTTGGTCAAAAAAAACAATGTTTAACAGATTATTTAAGCTGCAATGTTTTCAGGCGTACTGCTACAAGGGGTCATGCCGTACACATTCAGACCAGTGCAAGCTGTTGTGGGGGCCTTCAGGCAAGAGCTCAGACACTCAGTGTTACAAAATGAACAAAAAGGGCAGTAGACACGGCAATTGTGGCTACAACCGTCTCAACCAGTCCTACATCAAGTGCCAGGAACAGTGAGTAACAGAAACAACACAGACACAGTGAACATGTCAATTGTACCATACAGTAGACTCCCTCTTATCCGGACACCTTTCAACCGGACTACACTCGCCGGAAATGACATCTCTTTAACATGACAATTTTTATCAGCACATTGGTTTAACCGGACTAGATCGGCAGGAAGTGGGCGGTACTGAAACAACTGTTCTCGTGGGAAAGATTTGAGACCAGGGATCACGTGTCTAAATACAAAACTCTCCTAAATTTAAGTCAAATATCACAGTAAATGGTCCATTTTAACCATTTAAAATTTTGCCCATTTAGTTTCCGGGGACGTCAGTTTAACCGGAAAAACCATTATCCGTACTGGCATCGGTCCCGAGGAGTCCGGATAAGAGGGAGTCTACTGTATACCTGACAATATACAAAACTGAAACCCTATGTAAAAATAGTGCAAAATGTACATTTTTGAGTTTTGGAGATAAAAGTGATTGACAGATATGAGAGTGAAGGTAAACTGAGGTTCCACTGTACATGCTTATTTAATTGTGACTTGATGAAAAGTTTAAACATTTTCATGAGGGTTTGTTTCAATATCTGAGCTTTAAAATTTTGCAATTAATTGTATCTGTTTAGCTTCACATCAATATTCTCCACACTTAAACTATTAATATCTAGCTACCATCTAAGTGTTGACATTTTCTCACAAAGAAGGGATGTTTTTTTTTACTATGGCCACAGTTTTTGTTGTGTCCCTCTCCCTCATTCCAACAAACACTCCCTGGTATACACAACGATCACATAAGACAGATGGAGCACGTGAAGCAAGGGTACTCGTCTACAGCAAGATGGTGACTGTCCGCCCTAGTGGCAAGCAGTACTAATAAAATGTTAATCGGTTACAATAATATACGCAACAATAAGCTTTGCCATTTTAAATATTCCAATAACTAAGATAATTATTTTTAAAATGAGCTTTTTAAATTCATTCTAGCGTTTGCCATTTTTGGAAAAAAGTTAATGTAGATAAATAACAACAAGTACTAGGCCTACCGTATTAAAACAACTAATGTGCAATAAATAATTATATATCACAAAATTTGATACAAAAATAGTGTACAAAATAAGAAAAGCTTATAAGATCGTAGTTAAGAAAATCTAAAAGAAAATAATGAATACCCCCGCCGCAGCAAACCTGCAGACTAAGCGAATTTCCATTTGACTGATTGGATTTACACTGAAATGTCTACTTAAAAATATAACATTTATTCTCTATTTAAATAGAATTAGTTTAACTAGTACTTAGGTTTGCTGCATCAGGGAGGGTAAAACTGATTTTTTTTTTTTTTTTTGTAAAACGTTAATAGTTAGTAAGAAATAAAAACATTTTCCAAATGTGATCAAAATATGTTCATAAACAAGCAAACTACAACAATTTACTTATTCTCCATTAGAATAACATGGGAATTTCAAAAATATACAATTTTTTTGAATTTTCTCCGTAACCATTAGGCGCATAATAACGCTTCAATATACTAAATTATTTGTTTTTTTAAGCTCTACAAAATGGTTTGGAAAGAAATTGCTAAATTTTATGTTTTTGGGGTCAAAAATGGGAAAAACCTATTTTTACCCCATAAAACCCCCCGTAAACCCCCGTTCCCATGGTCCGATCATGCTGGATCGCGAACTCGTTCGGATAAACGTAGGTTTACACGTTTGTACCAAATTTCATTAAAATCGGATCATTTTTGCTTGAGTTATCGTGCTAACGGACACATATATATATATATATATATATAAATATATAAATATATATATGAATTTGAACGGATGGTGTTTTTGGCCTCTAGGGACCTCAAAATGAAAAAAAAAAATCGGTCCCGCGTCCAGGTCTTACCATGAGTACTACGGTAATAGCTTATTCCCTATATGGGAAATTCGCTAAAAAAGACATTTTTAGTGTACAACTGCAACGTGCTCACTGCAACTAACTGTCCCACAACAAAAACAGTCTATAAGAGACAAAAAGAATTGTAGTACAGCACTAAAACCTCATTTATCTGGTATTCATTTATCTGCGATTCTGGTTTATCCACAAAGGTTCTGCTTCAACCTAATTTTAAAAACACTTTGCTTAAAGCAAAAATTTACACACACAAAGAATAAATAAATAAGAACGCCTTCGCAAAGGAAACGCAACAACAACGTGCTCCTGTATTGCACGGGTATTGTATAGACTTTCTGAAGCCCTTTTTTTATCTTGTCTTGAAAAGGTCTTGGAGCAAAGTTAATCTCGCTCAAACAATAAACAAAATTTTTTTAATCTTGCAAATTTCTCGAATATTTGAAACCCTCTCTATCCCAAGTTTAAATTGTGTGCATTTACAAAGTCATATGGTTTTTTGACACTCTAAAAACAACCCTCTTCTAAATTCGGACTGTCATATTTATTTATAAAAAAGACCAAAAAATATATATTTCCGTAGGAAAACGTAGATTATAACTATACAAATTTTAATGTACTCAGTATTTTATACTTTTTATTAGAACTAATAGTTATCATAGCTGTGTTATAAGTTATAAGTTGTGTCCTTCATCTCTTACTGTAATCTCATAGTAAATACACCCCTGTACGAATACTGCAGGTTGCAGGCACTATTCCTCAGGATTGTTTCTCCAAAATATCTGGTACCAAAAGCGGAACAGATTGAGATTGTATTACTTTGTTCCAGGGATCTGCAGTGTGGCATGCTACACTGTACTCATCTCAATGAGCGGTTGGAGTTTGGCATGGAGTCTGTAGCAATCTTGTCTCACTCCTTCATCAATTCCCAGGGCAGCATCATCCCCTGTCGCACGGCCCTAGTAGACCTTGGGCTCAACGAGGTAGACCCTGGTCTGGCCCCTGACGGCGCCCGCTGCGGTGAGGGCAAGGTCAGTGACAACAACAACTTGCAAACTCACTATTTGTTTATCATTATAAATATTGTTTAAAAAAAGAGAATGAAAGCAGCGTTGGCACATTCAAACATCTAATTAAAGTGTTTTAACTATACAATACCACTCTCTGTTTGCAATAATTAAAGCAAGTAGGTAACATACACAAATTGCTGCATTGGTGTAGTTTAGTTTTAGAGGGTTTTAAAAATAACATACATGTTTTCTTCCAATTTCTAACTAACCATAATGTATCTTATTAATTTGGAAAGTTAACTAAAAGAGGGCATATTTAATGTAGAGAAAGTGGTTAAAGTGTTTCAGGTGAGTAATCGAACATTCTTGCATGTCAACACTATTTTCTACATACTTCTACGTTGTAAAATAATTTGCTTGGTACTTGGACAATTCTCAGTTTAACAAAACACACCAGTATGGGTCCCTAAAGTAAAACAATGTAGGAAAGCCCGCAGTTTCAAACAAAAGCCAGTAAGTTCATCAGAGCCTATGTGGGCTTAACTCTCACGGAGTAATACAGTAAAACGTTTTGTAGTGAAAAAGTCACCCAACTGATATTAATTAGTAGAAGTTGTGTAATTTTCCACTCTAGTTGACTGTGTTTGTTGTGTTATTGTTACAGATGTGTGTGAACCAGAAGTGTATGGAAGTGAAGGACATGTTGGCGAGTGGCAGTGTGGCACAATGTCCTAACAACTGCAACAACAACGGAGTGTGCAACAGCCGAGGACACTGCCACTGCAACATGGGATTTGCCCCGCCAAATTGTGACTACCCCGGCCCTGGCGGCTCCCAGGACAGTGGCCCTGCCTCCGACCCTAATGGTACAGTCTATATCACTCCTATTAAACTAGCTTTCTTATTGGCTAAGACCAGCTGTTTCTTTCAAACAGATGATTAAAAGTACAATAATCAAGGATTCCATGCATAAACCAGCAACATTTTGTTACCAGGCATACACTATAACCTTTTTTGAAGTTTTATAAACTGTCTGTACTAAACTACTTACTCATACATAACATCAATAAGTAATATTCCTATTCTGTTACAGCCAGGAGAGAGTTCATCATATTTCTGTATGTGACATTCCTGGGCATCGTACCGTTCATAGCTGTGGTCTCACTGTTCGTCTACTACATGAAACGCAATCCAACATTCTGGCGCAAGAAGCCGAGGATAGCAATGTACGTACCGTGCCTGTTTCCCCGACATGCACTTTCACATACCACCAATGTAGAAGTGTTTGTAGTTAATCCTTCTGCTCCTCCTTACCCTGAGCCTGTATACTGCACAGTAGATGGAGAAATTCCAGATAAAACTAACCAACTACCAGAAAACACTTATATTAACCAACAAGAATATTTAAAACAACTTACTAATGGTCAGATTAGTGAAAAGAGCTTAACACAATGTTTCGACACTGCAAGTAGAAAATCCTGTCGATCACTACCACCACCCCTGCCTCCTCCGAAGGTTTTTTCCAATCTTCCTAAACAAAAACCTTTTGAAAGTCAAAACACTAGAAACCCTAGCTTTAGTTCAGGATCAGATACTGACGATTCATGGGACTCTGATCCTTACCCTAACTCTCTATACAACACTGTTGAAACTGCAGCCAATACATCAGGGTACACCTCTTCAAAGAAACAATATGTAGGCCTATGTGAAGGGTTAAAAAATCTCAACTTGTTGTATAAGAGAAACAATTTAAATGGACTAAAAGAACTAAATTGTGAGAGACCTAAGGTTGACATTGTAAAAACAGATTTTGTTTTCACAACCAATGTTCAAGTTCAAAACATGATGAGTTCTTCTAACTCTGGCAAATCCTAGGAGCCTCCAAGTGCTCTAGGACTTGATGAGAAGTTTTTCAATATTATGTGCTTTTAAAATTGTTATTCTTTAAATTTATAATTCTTTATCATCCAACAGCTTCCTTACTAGGCCTATACATAATCCTTTATCCATATCTTCTCTGAAGTTTATTTCTGTTGAAACTATTATTAACAGTACTTTCTTTTCTTGTGTATTATCTCACTTTGTTCTTTTTGTTTATATATACATTTTTTCCTTTTCTTTCTCAGAAACTTGTAAATCTCTTACTTCACCTATAATCGTCATTTTCTTCTATATTTGTATTTTGTGTATTTTTTATGGTAACATTATATTAAGGATTATCTTAAACAATTTAATTACTACATGTAATTACCAAATAATTTCTGTAGTGTATCCTACAAAAGACTTAATGCCTATGATGACATTTCACACAAGAATACTCATAAAGTTTAAAACACATGACACAACCCCTACTGATTGCCTTTTGTTGTCTTCTCGCAACTGATAGAGAAGCTTTAGTGGCACACTGTAACACATTCTGTGTTTTGATAATTTTTATTTGGAGTGTAACCGAAAGGAGATTTCATCAAGCTTGTGTTTTGAAACTAGAAAGTTAGAGTGGCTTCAGGAAGGTGCGAACATTGGTCATAAGTTTTATGATATTTCTTCGTTGGGTATTGTCATCATGGGTTACATCCGTCTGCTTCTGAATTCAAATTTTGAATCTTATTCTGTTGATTTTTTTCACTGTTAGGATTTTCTAAGAATTTTTGTAAGAGGGTCCAAAACCAGTGTTAACTACGTCATAACCCTGGTTATGTTACTATCTGACTTCGTTGTGATAGGTGGCATCATTAATTGATAGCCCATGCATGACAAGTGGCATCTGAATTTAAAATCAACTCAGCTTGGGGTTAGACTAGCAATGCTCAGATTTGAAGTCAAATACCTGTTAAACGTCAAAATACATTCTTGTGATGGCATTGTTCTTATGACAAATTTCACAAATGGTGAAAACATTCTGTTTAAGATCTTCATAACTGCTCCTGATAATAGATCTAATACTAGGGTGTACTTTGTTAGTATTTAACAATCTCCAGCTTAACCGTCCGACAATAGAAATTTGTTACAAAAATGCTGCTTATAGTAATTGCGGTTGAGTGTTTATTTGTATTTTATTTACAGAAACAATTTTTGGCCTTTCAATACTGAGGTGAGGAATTTGCATTGAAGACACTTTACTATTTGTGGGGGCTTTTGATGCATTAAGTCATACAGTAAATTTCCTCTCTGGTTTGAATTTGAATCTGTTCTTGGTGAAAGTGGTTTATGGATGTTAGAGTGATTTTTCTGCTAGGTACTGCAGTTCTTTAGGTTTGGGTACAACATGTCATTGGCTGATCATTGGTGGTTATTTTGGTATCAATTATTGATATGGCTGAGCTTGTCTAGGATGAAATGGTAGGGATGATCAATTCCATCTTGATTTTTTTACGGATAGGATAAGTTAAAGTCCATTGTGTTTCTTCTTTATTAGCCTTAAAAGTTTAAAGTAGGCCTAAATTAGATACCTTTTTGTTTCTTTGTAGAGTTGAAAGATTTTAATACTTTGACAGAATAATTTCAACAAGATCTTTGGGCCAAGCGAGGGTTCTATAAGTTCAATATTAGTCCCTCTAATTTGTTGTTGTAATCATATGAAACAAACAAAAGTGCATTGAAGACACTTTACTATTTGTGGGGGCTTTTGATGCATTAAGTCATACAGTAAATTTCCTCTCTGGTTTGAATTTGAATCTGTTCTTGGTGAAAGTGGTTTATGGATGTTAGAGTGATTTTTCTGCTAGGTACTGCAGTTCTTTAGGTTTGGGTACAACATGTCATTGACTGATCATTGGTGGTTATTTTGGTATCAATTATTGATATGGCTGAGCTTGTCTAGGATGAAATGGTAGGCATGATCAATTCCATCTTGATTTTTTTACGGATAGGATAAGTTAAAGTCCATTGTGTTTCTTCTTTATTAGCCTTAAAAGTTTAAAGTAGCCCTAAATTAGATACCTTTTTGTTTCTTTGTAGAGTTGAAAGATTTTAATACTTTGACAGAATAATTTCAACAAGATCTTTGGGCCAAGCGAGGGTTCTATAAGTTCAATATTAGTCTCTCTAATTTGTTGTTGTAATCATATGAAACAAACAAAAGTTTTCATGTACTTACAATTTGAGAGTGAAAATAATATTGGAATTATGATTGCAAACGACTCGTACCGTTGAGAGATTCAAATGTTATTGAGCTGTATAATGTTCTTGGATGACCGTTTCAACGTTGACTGTATTCACTCTTATTTCATGTCCTTTTATTTAGTTTTAAATTTACAGTGGGTTCTTTCATGTTTTGATTAATTTTTATTCAAACGGTTTAGTTCAACTTTATTTATTTGTTGGATAGCTTTGATTTGTTTTTGTGAGGTTTACTGGAGTTTAGAATAATAAATTTAGATGTTTACATTTTTCATTGGTCGAAAATCGTCAGTTCAAATTTATAAATTATTTAGACTATATTTTACTATTAACCTATGATTTAATGAACAGATGAACATATAACCAGTGTGGCCACAGACCGGGAACGGGGAACTCTTGAAAACTCTGGAAATGTGAATTTTGAAATTTCCCCGGGATAAGCTGATTTTAGTGCCATTCTGATAGGCTATAGTATGGATTATAGAAAAATTTAGAATTCTTGCCAATGTAAATTGGTATTTGCTTATGTAAATGTTATTAAACTCTGTTATTGCATAGAAAACCTGACTGTTAAAATATTGCAAACATCATCTGTAGTAGCATCGGCAATAGCGTGAATATCGTAAACAACTTTTGCAGTCACAGCAAAATTATGAACATCTTTCGTGGTCTTGGCCATGTTCACAACAAATAAAGAACATCTTCGACGGTCACGGATAAATCGTAAACATCTTCTTTGGTCACAACAAATTTGGGAACACCTTCCATTATCATGGCAAAATTAAGAACAACTTCCGCAATCACAGCTAAAGAACATCTCCCACGGTCATGGCATAATCGTGAACATCTGCAGTTATGGGCGACATCATCGTCACCCATAATTGGGAAGAAATCGTCAGTTTTCCTTCATGGATATTCGGGAAAAATGTTCGCGATAGTTTAATTTGATTAAAGCTCAGCCCCGATAATAAGTTTTAGCGTAAACTGGTCTATTTTACCAATTGATACACGACCAGTAAATTTTGGGGACCGGGAAAACTGAGGGAAATACATGAATGCATGAAATACACTTATTTGTTTCTTTGTTTTGGGCCTGTGAATTTGTGTTTGATTTTAGTAAGCAGATCATAGAATTAATTGGTTTTGGTATTTCTTGTTCGAGTTGATAGGTGTCTGATCAAAATGATCAAACAGCATATGCATGTTTTTGTTTTGGAATCAAATGACATAATCAATAATGACATTGCCACTGTGTTCATACTATTTCTTCTTCATACTTCTTCTCTTCATCTTTGATCAGCAGTTGCTGGATGGATTGAGTCAAAACTAAAGTAATAATTTTGACTGGGCAGTCTATTGAACAAAGAAAATAAAAGATGATAACTTGAATTGATTATTTACAGATTGGCACAGGGCAGGGCTTATAGCTTTAACTTCTTCAAAATATTCTTCGATGGAGTAGAAGGGAGTTTTCTTAACTTTTTGTTTATACTTGCAGGGATCTAGATCCTTTTTACTAGCCAGAAAAGTATTATATAGTTTCATTGCTAGTATCGGGAAACAGTTTTTCTTCTTGCACAGCCTAGAGAATGTTGATCTTTTCCTCTGATATTATACATATGTTGTTCTTTTATTTTTGTGAGGGACAGGTCGTTTTCCTTTATGTAGACCAAGCTGAACAAAATAGACTGACCAAATTAACTGGGAGGCTCATTCAAATTATTTCTTGTTTTGTTTTGACCTGATTATCCAATAAAAACACTTTCATAGTCAATAAGTTTTGAGTGAATTGACAAGGCGACAGACTCGTTCTTGCCGGTTTTGTTTTTATTTCAATATTATTATTTGGGTTGTTGGTTTTTTTCTGTTGATGGAGAAATTTGTCTATTAATTTCATGTTTACGTGTTTATTACTTTGGGAAGGAACAACAAGGAAGGAACTGTCATTTTGTTATTCATGGTTATTTTTTATCTGTGTAAATATACAATATAAAACAATTCTCTAGAATTTTATCAGGACCTTGACTTTTGTTAAATATAAAGAAAAAAATAAAAAGTACTCATTCTAAAAAGTTTTCAAGTACACTACATTTTCCTTGATTGCAAGCACAACAGAATCACTGTTCTGGTAGTAATGCTTGAACAAAGACCTATCTGTCTCCACAGTAGATTTGTCCTATCCTCATAAACTGAGCTTGATGGACATGCAACCAGCACCAACACCTCCGATGACCTCCTCTCAGTATTCCATTTTATTTTAATTGGCTAAACCTCAATGTAAAGTTTTACAACATAGGATTCCTTGCTTTAATAACGAACTATACTCTAGCACATTTTGAAAGTAGAAAATATAAAATTCAAGAGTACATTTGTCAACCAAATTTATTTTATTAAGTTGTAATTAATGCTGATTAAGATTAAAACTTCTTAAAACTATTTAAGAACTGACCTGCTACTAAATAAATTTTAATATTGTTGTGCAATAAAGCCAGAAGGCCTGTTAATGTAATATTTATATCCACTGGTAATTAAAAGAACCTAGCTTTCCTGCAATATAAGGTAAACAGCATTGACCACTTTTGTACCCTATATTTTACTGCTTTATGTCGCTTTTGCTTAAACTATTTGGCTTTGACAGCATTGACAAGAAGATGGCATCGCCAGGGGGACGGACGTTGCCTCGCGGTTCAGTGCCAATGGTACCAGACACTTCTCGGGCATCATTGTTGCCATCAGCTGACAACAGCAGCACCAACCCCGCCAACTTTGACTCCAACCTCTTGCAAAACAATCTGGTCGGGCAGTATAAAGGTTTCAGCATCACCCCTCTGCCGAAAACAACGGCAAATGTTACCCCTACTCGGCAAGCCCCTGCTGTAGCTCCGGCTCACAAAGTATCTCCTCCCAAAGTACCAGACAATGTGGTTAGTCAACACATCATACCTTATCCAGTTCGCCCAGCACCCAAAGTTCCACCTACCTCTGTCGGTCTCACAATTGACAGCGAGAATTTAAGTAAACATCAACTTCCCCCAGATAACCCTCCCCCTCCACGACCTAACATAAGTTCTCCTGTATTGGATGCAACAACATCGTTCGCAGCTAAAGAGTTAATTAGCAATACGGTGGTTCCTCTAAGACCAGCTCCTCCAACTCCCAACCATGACAAGCCCAGGACTGCCAGACCTTTGTCTTCACCTGTCCATGATGTTACTTTGGAAGCAAAAATTGTTAAACCGAAAGATTCTGGTTACCCTACACTGACGAGAATCGCCTCTTTTATGAGTAGAAACCAGAAAGGAGCTCAAGAAATTAAGAAAGACCTTCCAGTTAAAGGAGCAAAAATTGATAAGGAATCCTTAAAAAACATAGAAATTTCAAACCCAATCTTACAAAAAGAAATAGCAGTTCCAGCTAGCTCTTTACCTGCAGGGGAGAAGGCTGTAGTAATGAGAGCTCAGAGTTTGAGAACTGTTCCTGATAAAAAACCTGCTATTGCCAGTTTTGGCTCCATGAGAGTCCCAGCTAACAAGAGACCCACGAGCATTCCTGCAGCAAACCGACCCTCTTCCCCTCCACCGCCACGGCCTCCTTCTTTTGGCATTCCTGGATATCAAAATCCTAGTAAAATGGACACTTATGACGACTGTCTCAACTTGCTCACTGAAGGAGTTGCCCCTTTAGCTAACATAGATGAGGAGAGTCCGAGTGCTACTGATAACATCTATGCTGTTATAGAAGAGAGTCCAACTGATAGAAGAGAAAGGAAAGAAATTGTATTGCCAAGGAAGTTGGAATACACCTCACCGACCGGTGAATACAAGTCACCTAAGCCGATGGAAAATAGTGTTTCAGCTGGCAGTGCGGAGAGCATGGGACTCTTAGGTGAAATTGTTAGTGAAATCCAAGCCAGAAACACTGAGTCTATATATTCAACATCCACTTTGAACCGGAAGAAGGAAAAAGATGGCGATGAGACAGCATCTACTGTTACTGATTCAAGCTCTGAAATTGATAAAAATCAAACTTACGTGAACACACCTTGGAATGGAGGCTATACCAATATTACAACCCCGCCCAAGTCAAGTGCCAGTTCCACTACTTCCAGCTCCGGCTATTTAAGTCCTATTAATCACAATATCAGCAACAAGACTAGTGCTTTTGGCAATAGTGAATCATTTGAGGTTCCAGAAAGTAAAGCTCCTTATAAACCATACATTCGGCGAAACTTGGGTCCTTTAGCATCAGCCAGTTTAGCTGGAAAGACAATTCCCAGACAAACTGATTCGACAAGAAGTACAGCTGTAACAGAGGATAAAAACAGTTCCATTAAAACTAGTCCATTTGTTAAAAAAAATTCTCTAAATAATAGTATAAACAATAGATCATCTAATTCTAGAACAGTAGTTAGAACAAATTCTGATGGACTATCTTCAATGAAGCCAGATATAGTTTCAAGTTGTAGTCCTTCAGGAGTAAAATCTCCTGATGTAATAGGTAACAAAGCTCAATCTACAAGTCTTGCTGGTTTTACTTCTAAACCGACTCCAGGTAAATCAGGGTCTTCATTCAGAGGTCGTCAACCTTTACCAGCTCCTAAACCTGTGATTCCAACTACCAAAGCTTCCATCACATCTCAACCGTTGCCAGCGATCCCAACAGTTCAGAAGACAAAACCTACTGAATCAAGAGCATTTGGCAGCAAGAGTGATGCTAATGATAATGAAACGAACAAATCTGTTCCCGCAAACAAACAATCCAGTGTAGTAGCTTCTCTACAACAAAAGTTTGAGACAAACAAGCAACCAAGATCACAATCTATGCTCAAAAACTCAGTTGCAAAAAACTCACTAAATAATTTCAAGACAAACAATGTCAGGAGATGAGAAAGAGATGTCATATAAAACTAGTTAATATGGTTAAATAATGAAATCACCCGCTTTTCTTTGCCTTAATGATCAACAAGCTCATACAAATCTTCTTTAATTGTACAATGCATTTATTACCATTCAGAGTATTTTTCTGTCTGCTTCTGTAAATATTCGCTTGTTTGTACAATATTAATGTACTATTAAGTTTTGTAGCTATTGTTTATATGCATTATTTATGCCAATTTTTAAATGTATTGATGGAAGATTTTAAACTTCAGTACTTTAAACTTAGCTTTTTGCTTTTGAGCGGTTTTCCAATCTCTCGTTATATACTCATCTTCAAATGTTTGCCTATCCGCTATTGATTAAGAATTTGGCGCAACTTAAATATTTTAGTTTTATACTAGGTAATTGTTTTTAATGCTCATTTTATATGATGGAGATGGTCACTTTGCTGTTGTGAACTTGTAACTCCTTGTGGTGCTTTCAGTGTAAAAATGTATGTTCAACGATTTTAATCAATTGTACATTTTTGTAAATAGTTAAGTACATTTTGTTCATTTAGATTTTTTATTTTTTTAAGTCATAGTATAAGGATTTTGTGATAGATGTTAGTTTATTTTATTACGTTATGAATTATTTTATAAACTAAATTGGTTCTATCACGCCCAGGCCAACTCATAATTGTTTAACTCAGATATTAAAATACCAATTTACAAAACCCATCAATCCGATCATTAACTGAATTTAGTTTTCTCTGTTGTCTGTGCTTGGCTACATTTGACTTGATATTGCAGTATGCCATTGCAATGTTATTGTCAGTTTTTAATTTTACACAAGTTAAATTTGGATTCGCACCTGTATTGTATATAATTATGATGGTCTTAATGCATTACTGACATCCAATAAACATCCCTCCTCAACAAATATGGGTGAAGTTTGTGTATCTACTGTATACATATCACATTCTTTAGGTAATATTTTGTCTGAAAAGATATGTGGACAAGTTTTACCTGTAAATATCCGTAATGAAATGCAACTAAAATCTTTATTTTACAATAATGTAAAGACCACTTTAGACGTATCCATAAACATTAGGCTCCTAATGAATGCTACTTTGTTTACAAAAATCAATTGCTGGAAATTGAAATAAATTGACTTCCTTGTAGGGATGGACGAGATTGGATTTTTAGTTCGAGACGAGACGAGACGAGATTTTTTATTTCTCATAAAATTTCGAGACGAGATCGAGACGAGATTTCTCTTCTCATACACAACGGGAAATGCACGTTCGAAATTTTTACCTGATTTTGTAACATTGTTAGATGACTGTTTAAATACTAAAATAATGATAATAGGCAAGAATATTTACAATCTTTCATTAAATAACATCAGCATAACATTTTTTTATTAATCACGCCTAACTTATTAAAAATGCCTACGATTAGGAAACATGGTGATATCAGTTAGGATAGAGTTGAACTTATCCTAAAATAAAATAAATCATAAAATAAAAGCAATATTAATTTTTATAAAATAGTTACTTGTTTTGACTTTTTTTATAGTAATAAAACATTCCTCACACTGCTTACACTTAACAAAACTTCTCAAATGTTATTAAAGTAATTTTATTAAAATAATGAAAGTAATATTTACATTAAAAGAATTAAAGTAATATTTACATTAAAAGAATTAATTAAATAAGAACGCCTTCGAAAAGGAAACGCAACTACAACACGCTCCTGTATTGCGGGTATTGCATTGACTTTCTGCAGGCGTTTTTAATTTTTTTTTTTTTTTTGTATTCTCGTCTCGATAAAAATCTCGGCCAAAAAGTAATCTCGTCTCGTGTAACGAGATTGAAAATTTCCCGAAAATTTCCCGAAATTTCGAGACTTGACCATCCCTACTTCCTTGTTTTGTGATCAAGCTGCACACACCTTCGAAGTGGCGAATGACACAATACAAGTTTATTTTCCCAATGTACAGTAACAACATTACACTTTGGCTGAACTACCAACCGGTTTGGTAAGGTTAAACAATTACAGCTTGTTAGTTGTCACACAATGATCCAGAAGCTACAGACCTGGCATTTTATCGTTGCCTATTGCAAAGTCGTAATATATAATATACCACTTAAAAATAAGTATTTATTTGATATTAAGAAGTAAAGACAACTTGAGAAATTGATGATAAAAATTTTATTGATTAGGTGTAACTATTTTACCAATAAGAACATGTAATAATACAAAATATTGTTTGTATAATTTGTGTTTTAAAAGGTTTCCTATTGTAAGTGTTATGATAATTTAAACTAATTTGTTAAATGTATCTTTGGTAGGTTGTAATGAACAGAACAATGAATTACATGTAGAAGTAAACAGTGCCGGATTTAGGGTACTTCGGCCCTAGGCCAAATTACTTGAGCGGCCCTCCCCCTGCGGTGGAAATTCCTTGCGATCGCGGAAGTAATCGTAAATATCTCCTATGCATCAAAGGGACATTATCATCGACACCTGTGATCGTGGATGAAATCGTGGGCATCTTTCCTAAATCATGTCAAAGCCATCATAGGTATCATGAACAAAAAATAAAATCATGAACATTCCCCAAAACAAAGGTGCATCATCTTTGACACTCGCGACCGCGTGATAACATCCCGTGAGCTGTAACCTTGAGGGCATCATACCGTCACCCGCAGCCTGGCAAAGTCGTGTTAAATAATCTCCCGTGGACTGCGATAATGAGGACATCATCATTGTCACCCGCGACCGGGGCGAAATCGTAAACACCCCTTGTGATCGATAAACACCATCACAGGGACATCATCATTGGCACCCCCAGCCCCAGCAAAATGACAAAATTCTCCCGTGGGCCACCATCATCGACACTCGCGACCGCAGCGAAATCGTGAACATCTTCCATGGGCCGCAATCACGGGGACACCATCATCCACACCCACAGCCGTAGCGAAATCATGAACACCTCCCGCGGGCCGCAATCACAGGGACATCATCATCGAGACTCGCGACAGCGGCTAAATCTTGAACATCTCCCGCGGGCTGCAATCATGAGGACACCTCACCGTCACCCTCGGCTGCGGCGAAATCGTGAACATCTCCCTTGGTCAACAACTACGGAGACATCATTATTGTCACCTGCAATCGCGGCAAATTGATGGTAAAAAAAAGGTTTTTTTTCAATCCTCTGCGGCCCCCTTTTGCTTCGCGGCCTAATCGGCCTAGTGGTAAATCCGGCACTGGAAGTAAAGACGACAAGGACGGATGTAACTAGTTTTGTATAGCTTATTCCATGTTTTGATTCTAGCAGATAAAACAGGAAGCTGACTTTTAATCGCTTTTGAAAGTTGATTTTTTTAGGTCTTCTGAGAGCCTTAAGATCTTAACTTGATGATTTTTTTTTCTTTTACTATACTTTTAAGTAGCCTTCTTAAAAAATATTATGTTTGTTTTGTTTGATTTTAGGAAATTTTATTACGATTAAAATCAAATTAAAATACAATTAATAAGCAGTAAAACACTTTTGTTATTAAACATAAAAAAACAAATTTTAATTATCTTTGTCCTTTTGCAAATAAAAAGAAGGAAGTGCCTTTACCTAGCCATTGCTAATATCTACCTCCTTGATAATTACTAATTAGGAAACCGTATTAAGACTCAAATTCTTTTTTGGTCTTTGAACAAAATTAACAACTTCTTTTAGCCAGCCTGAAACAATTGAAAGAGTGTTTTTTTATTCATATTTAGAGTACCTATGAAATAAATGAACATAGGCTCATCATGGGGTATTCAATATTGTCCATTGGATAATCTTTTATTTGAAGTGTTAGAATTCTATTTTTATTGCTGTACTAAAGGTAGGTAATATACATTTTAACCAATTTTTTTTATCATAAAAATGCAAATAATTTCAGCACAGAACAATATTTTAGCAGTCTTAAGTTGTGTCAAGATATATTTCATGCAAGATTGTACAAAAAATAATTGTTAAGCTTGTAATAATAAAAAAAAACAATATTTACTGCTTTTGTGATATGAACTAACAAAACCAGGACGAAAGCTATTTGAATATCACATTCATATTGAACTTTTGTATTTAGGTACCTATTTTGTGCTATTATTGATATTGAATTTTGTACATATTAATTTAAGAACTGCAGGAAATATAAACCAAAGATTTGTAATTTGGATGAAATGTATAAATTAAAAATATAAATATAACGGTGTTTATAAAAATGTGTGTAATAAAGAAGTATCTTGTATATGACTTAATTGTTGATTGGTATCCCTCCCCTTGTTGTTTTTAATTCTATGACACAACAGGTCAGTCTTGTTAAAAACACAAGAGGACAGTTAACATGAATCTTGGCTGAGAAGTCGCCAGAAACCTGCGTCTTATCAGGAAGATGCCCAAGCCCCATACGAATAAAGATTTAAAAAAATGAAAAGCACTTTGCAAAACTACAGATCAGGGCCATTGTTTTGACACTTTAATCATCAAAATCGGTAAAAAAATTAGGCAGGATTTCTGTTTACTAAAATCGGCTTAGCGTATTGTATATATAGAAGATAGATTTATTACGCATGTTATCAATTATTTATTCGGTTAGTTTTTATTAATGGTTATAATTAACTCATACACTTGGTTAGTCATACACTCATAAAAGTTAGTTTAAACCATAGACGTAGTTTTATCAAAGGCCAAAATAGCCTAGTGCATTTTTTTATTTGGTCTTTTTATGGATTTCAAGCTTTGACCCTACAAACATGTGTTTAGTATTGATTAATTGTGAGGTAAAATAAGATATAGGATAACAAACAAAGTCAGTAGAGGTACTTACTTATACTTTTCAATTAAATGGCGGCCATACAAAGTAGGATGAGTGGCGCGATCTTGTAGTCTTGTTAGTCACTAAGGCCGACATATTCCTTAGACACTTATAGCCACCAAAAATAAGACATTAAGAGCTATGGTAGCTGTTAATTGATAGCTCATACAGCTAATGGCAACTAAGGGACCTACAGTTTATAGTGGAATCCGAACCACATTTTTGCCTTGGTATATATAAATTCGTCTAATAATCAGGATAGTACTGCGGATAGTCGTAGTACTCACTCGTGCGGACGTTAACCCTCCGAGGGTCCCTAGTTTTGGCCTTAATGTTTGCCTATTTTTTGCACATTTACAAGGTTTTATTAAAACGGATCTGAGAAGCTTAAAAACAATGTTAATTATACTGTTCTATATACCATTTTGTTAGGAAAATCATGGGCTTCAATATTATACATAAAACATAAGGAAAATTTGTTACAAAAAATTTTTTTAGGTAAAAAAAAATAAGTGCGCTCAATGAAGTTGTATAAATTATAGGCCTATAAATATTTGAAAATAGCCACTTTGTTCTAAATTTTATGAGGATTACAAATATATAATCATATAAGGAAGTAGATCTGCAAATAAATAAGTTATGGGCAAAAAACAGATTTTGGTACATAGCGTTTAGCTAAGAATGCATAGCCTAACCATAGCTAGGAATCTGGCTGATAATTTACATCAATATCACTACCTACTTCTTCAGGATCATCAACCAGCCCTTCAAAATCACTTAAATCTTCTTATAATGCACCACGTATATCACTACTTTTGATTTTTAACTCTGAACAATGATAAACATAATAAAAACACATCAGCCATCGGTCCGAGGTTAACTAACCTGTTTACAAATATGCACGTCAGCTGTCTGCTACAATTACGATCGGCTCGGAGAACATACAGCGCTTAGAGACAGACCTGTAGAAAGCTTAGAATCTAACCAAAAGAACGATACCTAACTCAATCCAGTTCAATCCGATTTTGTCAGTCATAGAGCCTTTGCTGTAAACAGTGTTTGTGAGTCGAAAAATCGACACAAAAAACTACACAAAGTGTGTTATGTGTCGATTTTTCGACACATAACACTCGGAGGGTTAATCCACACCAGGAAGTATCGCATCCACAGTGCATGCCTATAAATATCCACAATTCGTGACCTAGTAGTTGGATTACAGGACGACGCCACCCGTCCCAGTCGCAATATATTGTATTCAACTAAATACAATTAATATGTAAAGAAAAAATAGTGTCTTGCTTATTTTCAAATGATTCAATACTCGTTATCACTCATTA